GTAGTGTCCATTGGTGCCAACCACACTTGTAAAACAGTGAGGAACTGTGTCTTACGAACAGGTCAACACTTTGGATATTTAGATACGAAACCTGAAAATGGAAACATGCTTTTATAAAGAACCCCAAATCCAGCTTCAGTAAGTTCTCCGAGTCAGACATGGGCAAGGGATGTTTTGAAATGAAAGCATCATGGACTGAACTGCCATGGGCACTGACTTCTTGGCAAGACGGGTGGCTGTGCTGCCCAATCACAGAAGCAGTTGCCCTCAAACCCCACCCCTTTCTGATGCGGAACGTGGAGCACACGAGGCCAACTTTTCCTCAGGATTCAAAATGGCGGCTGGGCAGTGGGGGAGAAGCGGGCAGCAAGTCTCGTTCTGCCTTGCTGTATTCCACTGAAATGCAGGCTGTCCCTACCATCCCATCCTTTCTCCACAAGCGCCGAGTAATGTCTGAAAGGGGAGCTTTTAGCCTGCCCATTCTTGACACTCATAAACGCCCCATCCCCATGAACTGGCTGCAGCTGGTCAGTTTTGAGAGAGAGAGAAACCCTTATTACTAACACACCTTCCAGGGCCTATTGTTTTGGCCAAGACCACCAGCATCCTGGGGGAGCTAGCGCCTTAGTAGGGCCCATGAATGACACTTCCTCTGAAACTCTTCATTAAACAAAAAGCTGCCCAGGCACTCGAAGCAGCTCTAGTTACCATTTACACTTCACATAATATTCATGGCATTGTGTTCCTGTGAGGCACTGTGAGGAATTAAGTTGGTGGCTAGACCTAGTTCCCCATATCATTGCATTTTTCGCTCTATAGGACACACCCGACCATAGGACGCACCTTGTTTTAGAGGGGGAGAACAAGGAAAAAAATTCTCCCCTTCTCTGCTTAGCACCCCTTCAGCGAAGCGGCAGGAGCCCCTTCCATTTCTCCTCCCGCTTCGCTGAAGGGGCGCAGCTCTCCCTCTCTGCTGAAGCCAGGAGAGTCTTGCTCTCCCGGCTTCAGCAAAAGGAACCCGAAGCCTTTGGAACGCAGCGCGAGTTCCCGCTGCGCTCTAAAGGCTTCAGGCGGCTATCCCTGAAGCCTGGAGAGCGAGAGGGGTCGGTGCGCACCGACCCCTCTCGCTCTCCAGGCTTCAGCGAAAGCAACGCGAAGCCTCCGGAGCGTGGAGGGAGTGCTCCCTCTGCGCTTCGGAGGCTTCACGTTGCTATCGCTGAAGCCAAGGAGCCTGCATTCGCTCCATAGGATGCACACACATTTCCCCTTAATTTTTGGAGGGGGAAAAGTGCGTCCTATAGAGCGAAAAATACGGTACTTGTAGCACGGTCGCCCAGAAGTAAACTAGGGGTGGGCAACTTCCTGGGCCTAACTAGGTCCAGCATGGGTCCCAATTTGGCCCCCCAAACTATGCCCACCAGCCGCACCCCTGAGGACATAATAGAGGTGCATTGAAGTGTGCTCCCAGTAGCTCCTTAGCAAGGGGTGTTTGCTGCCAGCGCCAATCAGCTGGCAGATGCTGACTTGAAGCGCACTGGGATGAGCTTTGCTGTGGGGCTTGCTAGGTGCTACTGACCAAGCCTAAACTCCACAGCACAGCAGATCCCTGCAGGAAGCATGACTTGAAACCAGCTGATCGGCTGTGACATCAAGCCCGGCTTGGGTTTTCCTTGGCAGTGTGGCTCAAACGCAAGCCACGCTATGAAGGAAAAACGGGTCACCTGATGCCATGGTGATATCTGGTGACTGACAGGTAAGTGGCCTCACCCACCTGTCTGAGTGGGTTGGCAGGAGTGGGGGAACCCAGGATCTGGTCCGCTGGCTTGAGAACAATCGCTGCCCCAGAGGTAAGCCAACCGGGGCTCACAGATCGAGGAGAGAACCCACCAAAGAGTACATTGCCCAGGGCCTCCTCAGACACAAAGCCTGCCCTGGCAGTCCCCAAAGTGCAGAAAGTGGCTTCACATCTTTTCCGACAGAATGAGCAGAAAGGGGTTTCGAAAGCAATCATTATAATATTTCTGCCCGCTCCCAGCATTTCAAGCTCAGAAGTCTCCTTTGCGCCGCTCCTTAAGAAGCTGGACCGCAGTAAGTAGTAAAAACTACTTTTTCTCCCTCCAAAGAATCGTGGAGGGGATACAAGAAACGGCACAGTGACTAAAAAAGGATCAGTAGTTTTGGGCATAGTCAGAGCTCCAGTGGCAATACATCCAGTGTTTTTGCGGTATAGCAATATGGGGTTGGGGAAGGAGGCAACTGAAGCCATAGCACAGGGACTGAAGTCCGTTCAACCTTCTCTCCAAATTATGCTTAGTCTAGGGTCGTTCCCACATTACATCCAACAAGTGTACAATCTGTGTATGTAAGTAGCTGATTTGTACATTCGTAGTTACTCACATTCAGTAAGTGTACTGTAAGTCTATCATTGGAGCCAACTCCTAGGGGCCGTGGAGCTTTGGTCCCCACACAATAAAATATATGGGGGAGCCGGGCCCATGCAAAGTTGATTGGCATTCCCATTCAAATGAGGTGTGTGCACTGCATCATATGATTGATTATGCAGGCCAGGGCTTACCTGGGTGCCAACAATATTGTATTCAACTTGGCACACACACACCCTGCAGTCTATGCGTGCAACAGCTGAGCTGTACAAATCAACATGTTGCGTCCAGTCTTTCACACAAACACTTGTACATGTGCCAAAATGGCTTGCGTTCAGTGTAATGTATATAACAAGGCCCTGGGTACATGTGTGTGTGTGTGTGTGTGTCAGAGGGAAGAAAATTAAGATAGATGGGCGTCATCTTTAGCAAGGCCCCAAAGGAATGATGTCGGAATCCCTGGTTTGTCAGCGATAAAAAAAATGAACCAAAGGTGGGGGAGAAAGAAAGTGTAAACATCAAAGATAATGCTATCGGGGGAAAGTACATGAAAGCTTGCTTGTACGCATCTGCTTTAGCCAAGCCAACTCACACCATTGCACACGAGGCTGTCCATGCACAAGAGGTTTTGCACAAGTGTCTGCAGAAAGTGCCTGGTTCAACCCTCTCCTCCAGGTGCAGTTGAGAAAGACGCTTCTCTGAAACTCTGGGCAGCTGCTGCCAGTCAGTGTAGACAATACAGACCTAGATAGACCGAGGATCTGACTCAATACAAGGCAGCTTCCTATGTTCCCAAAGTCTGCATAAGAGGAACCTTCTGGCTGCCCAGAGAACAGTTGGTAGAGCACAAGCTGCTCAATCTCAGGGCCCCACACTGGGCAAAAGTTTCCTGCGCTGGAGGGGGTTGGACTAGATGACCCCCCGGAGTCCCAATTCTACGATTCTATGAGACAGTCTTGCCACTAAGCTGGCATGACTCTGTAAGCTGCCGGGATGGGAGGGAGAAGCGTACCTGGGACCCCTTGCGCTCTTGACAAGGAGCTGTGTCGGCGTATCCGCTCCCCCGCGAGAAAAAAAGAAATCACTTTAAAACAATTGCCACGTTAGAAATTGCTACATTTTAGAAACCCAAGTACTCAAAAGCGTCTGGAGTGAGGGCAAGGCGAGGAGGAAGGGCAATAATAATAATAATTGTAAGCCTTTGTTCTACAGTGCATGAAGCATGGGGATCTTCTCCCGTGTTTGATCTCACCACAACAGTGGCAGTGGATCACATATATGTTACACAGTCTAGTCTCATAGGTGGTTTTTGCAGGGCGACCCTGGGCCTGCATTCCTGGTGGGGGCTGTTTTCACTAACCCCTAGGTACACCTTTGATGGGAGACGGCCTAAGAGCCATTCGGAAATTGCTCCGTGCCTTCTGGAGGGAAGGTAAAGGTAAAGGGACCCCTGGCCATTAGGTCCAGTCGTGACGGACTCTGGAGTTGTGGCACTCATCACGCTTTATTGGCCGAGGGAGCCGGTGTAAAGCTTCCGGGTCATGTGGCAAGCATGACTAAGCCGCTTCTGGCGAACCAGAGCAGAGCACGGGAACGCCGTTTACCTTCCCACCAGAGCGGTACCTATTTATCTACTTGCACTTTGATGTGCTTTCGAACTGCTAGGTTGGCAGGAGCTGGGACCGAGCAACAGGAGCTCACCCCATCACGGGGATTCGAACCGCCAACCTTCTGATCGGCAAGTCCTAGGCTCTGTGGTTTAACCCACAGCGCCACCCGCGTCCCTTCCGGTGGGAAAGCGGAGTGTAAATGCAAGAAGCGGAGGTTGTGTGAAACAACAATGGCATCAGAGAAGCCACAGCTGAGAGAGAGAGAGAGAGAGAGAGAGAGAGAGAGAGAGAGAGATGTCTTTGTGTTTCGGTCACCAAGACAACTTCAACACTGCTGACTTGGGTCGATCTGTCCAGAATGAAGCTAAGCTGATTGTCATACCTCACAGAAATGCAGTCCTCAGGACCCTGGTGGTGGTGCTTGTGGGTGGGGGGAAATAAATAACTGGTGTAAGTGAAAAAGCTGCCCCTTTGAGCTTTGTATTTGAGGGGGGTGAGGGTAAAGGGACTCAAGCCCAGGTGCCAAATGCAGCTCCCTCGAGACTTTCACTGGGACACAGCCTCCCCCAGCTCTGCTCAGCCCCCTTCCTAGCTGGCAGACATCCTTGAACCATGATGGAGAGTTAGGAGGCCTCCAGCTTTTGCGTGGCTGGAAACGCAGCCTGTTGCACAAAGGTGAGAATCGCACCTGTTGCTGTGTCCATTTTTTGCTTCGGGCCCCACCAGGCTGCCCCACAAAGACTGAAAAAGCTTCTCCACCCCTCATCCCAGCAGGGAACATCCCCTCCCTACGATCGCTGCGTCCAGAGAAAGCTCTTGGGTCATGGTCACCGACCTGAGTCACGTAACTTAGGGTTTCAATAGCAGTTTTGTCATTGGTTCAACGCCAAGTCCAGAAGGGAGTGAAGCAGCCGGCGAGGGTGGAGGGGATGGGAGAGAGGGAGGCAAGCATCAGTAGTAACTCCCCGTCTCCTGCCAGCTTGTGACCCACTGCTTCTTGTGCCTCGGAGCCAGGAAGCCGCCGGCCGGCTGGTAGCGCTCCTCCTGCCGGATCCGGATGGCGTGGTATTTGGGCATGATTCGGTAGTAGCGGGTCCGCTTGAAAAAGTTGCACTGCGTGGGGAGAGAGGGAGGGGAAAAGAGACGCATTAGTGGCATGACACATTGACCGAAGTTGGGAATTAGAGCAAAGGGATGCTATGGAGAGTAGAGGCAGGGAGAAAGAGAAGGCGAGAGAGGAAGCGGGGAGGTAGTGGAGAAGGCCGGTTCATCGGACCAGTTTCCTGTGGTGGCTGAAAAGGCGTGACATCGGTTCCAAAACAGAGAAGCTAGGGTTTTGTACACATTCTACTCTGCTTCCAGTGGTTTGAGAAGTGGTGTGCACACAGTATTCATCACAACCTGTTTCTGTTTTGTCGGTTCTTATGAAAGGTTGCATTTTGATGTGTCCCTCTGCCCCAAACCATAGCTGTCAACTTTTCCCTTTTTTTAAGGGAAATTCCCTTATTCCAAATAGGTTTCCTTGCAAGAAAAGGGAAAAGTTGACAGCTATGCCCCAAACATGGGTGGTGCTGTGGTTTAAACCACTGAGCCTCTTGGGCTTGCCGATCAGAAGGTCGGTGGTTTGAATCCCCGCAACAGGGTGAGCTCCCGTTCCTCTGTCCCAGCTCCTGCCAACCTAGCAGTTTGAAAGCATGCCAGTGCAAGTAGATAGATAGGTAGCACTGTGGCGGGAAGGTAAACGGCATTTCTGTGCACTCTGGTTTCGGTCACAGTGTCCCGTTGCGCCAGAAGCGGTTTAGTCATGCTGGCCCCATGACCCAGAAAGCTGTCTGTGGACAAACGCCAGTTCCCTCAGCCTGAAAGCGAGATGAGTGCCGCAACCCCATAGTCGCCTTTGACTGGACTTAACCGCCCAGGGGTCCTTTACCCTTTTTAACCTTTAAACCAGCTTCAATTGAAATTGAGAAAAAGAATGATCTCATTCTTTTGGAGGTTGGACTCGATGGCCCTTGTGGTCTATTCCAACTCTATGATTCTATGATTATCCCCTCTCATGTGTTGGGAGTAGTTGTCTGCCATAGACGGCCCTAAGGTAAAACTACTTTTGCAGCTTGGGGAGGAAAAGGCGGCAGTGACATAGCCCGCCATGTTGTTTTCTGAGTGAGAGCCAACAAAATGGCGACTTGGAAACCAAGAGATTGGTTCAAAATTGGTTCGAAACTTGGTTGGCTCGGAACTTGGTTCAAAGTTTTGCTAATTCTTTTTTATGTTGTCCTTCAGCTGTGGTGTGGTGAAGGCACAATGGATTAAATGGTTTAAGACTGGGATTGGCCACTGATCTTTGACACCTGCCATGATTCTGTAGCAAAACTGTGTGTGTGTGTGTGTGTGTGTTTGTGTGTCTGTGTGTCTGTGTGTGTGTGTGTGTGTGTGTGTAGCAACTCAAAATATGTGAGGGTGAGCTGCCAATCTGGGTATATATTAGAGCACGGTTTCCCAAACTTGGATCTCCAGCTGTTTCTGGACTACAGTTCCCATCATCCATGACCACTGGTCCTGCTAGCTAGGGATAATGGGAGTTGTAGTCCAAAAACAGCTAGAGACCTAAGCTTGGGGAAACCCTGTATTAGAGCGTTCTCTAGACTGACTCCTGTATCAAAGTCAACCCCAGCCAGTGTCGCCGACTCAGCACCACCTCAGAATGGTCACTTGGAATGAATGGCCCAGTGAACGGAAAGAAGATTGGGAGTCAAGAGAGAGAAAGAGGAAAGTCCCTTGTCAGAGTAGGAGATGCCACCTCAGAAGCCACCTGAAACATAGGTGGTTCTTAAAGCCTAGAAAAAGAAACATTTGGGTTAGTGAGACGGACAGGTAAAACAAAGAGGCCAACAGACATGAGACCTGGGGGAGAGCATTAAGTGCAATGTGTGAGGAACATGCCTTGAAGACAACTAAGAGAGGGAGGGGCTGCAATGCCTGGTGCTAACTGGTGTTGAGAGGGCTGGTTTTGGAAATCTGGACACCTCAGATGTTGGATGCTGAGAGAAATGTCCAGACAAGGGCTGAGGCCAGATGTGCTTCTCTGCCACCTGCAAATCCAGACTCTTATCTCAGGGTCCTTGGCTTCGATAGTCTGAGTTGGGAGGTGGGGCAGGAACAGGCAGAATTCTCTGCCCCATAGACAACAAGGGTAGGCTCTTGTTTTCATACTGGGCACAGCCAATCCGGGGGCTTTGTACTACCTACCAATCACAAGGCTCCGTGTTGCACACCTGCATTTCCTCCTGCACTGAAAGAGGGCTCTGAAAAGAGGGGCACTTCTGAATTTGATCAGAGCAGCAGAGGTGTGTGGGGGATGCTTAACCATTCCTCCCCATACAGGGGCATAGTGTAGTGGGAGGCCAAGGGGGCTGTAGCCCCAGGCACACAATTTTGAAGGGGCGCGAGCCAGGCACCCCTATACCCATCCTGCCCAGACACATTGGTGAGGGGTTGCTGTTCCCAGCTCCCCATTCTTCCCTGCCAACTGCCGGGGGTCTCTGGGCCCCAGCTTGGCCTGGTTGCTAGATGCACTCCCCAGACTGGAAGCAAGAGTGGATGGAGGGAGATGGGCAAGGGATTCACCTGGCAAGGTCCACTTTGGCCAACTGGCTCCCCCCTGTGTTGGTGGGCAGGAGGTGCAGCACAGCCCCACTTACCCCCAGGTGGGGAGTGGCTAAGAATACTGATTATTGTGGTTATTAGTTGTGCTCTGTGAGTGGAGCAGACGTAAGTTGGTCCTGTCCGTTCATTTTTTCTTTTTTCTTTTTCCTTTTTCCTTTCTCCTCCTGTGATGAGGCTGCATTTTAATATTTTAATGTTTCAATATTTTAATGTTGTATTTTAATCTTGTTTTTAAGTTGTATTCATTCAACTTGTTTTTATTATTGCTCGTTAGCTGCCCTGAGCCTGGCCTTGGCTGGGGAGGGCGGGGTATAAATAAAAATTATTATTATTATAAATGGGCCAGCGCTTAGTCCCATATACAGTCAAACTTCAGTTGTCAAATGTAATCCATTCAGGAAGGCCGTTCGACTTCCGAAACATTCGATAACCGAGGCGCAGCTTCCGTTTGCCATGTGTTCGGGTTCCGAAAAATGTTTGAAAACCGGAGCATTTACTTCCAGGTTTTCACCATTCAGGAGACGAAATGTTCGCAAACGGTGCAGTTTGAGAACCGAGGTTTGACTGTAACTCAAACAGTATAAAGTCCACTTTCCCTGAACCAGCACTGGGACATAGCTCTCAACACCAGGGTCTTATGGGAAGGATTAAGAAGTGGAGAGGTTGACAGAGACAGCGAACAAGAGGAGCAGACCTGCTGCAAGAGCTTGATTTACCAAGAGACAGGGCAAAGGGGTGGGCAGTTTCCCCTCCCCCTGAGACAGGAGCTAGTAGCTGTCGGTCAGCCGCTTAGTTTCAGATGGCTGGATCTTCATCATGGCTTTCTGGCCCTTGGCCTCGTACATGGCTCGTGTGCTTGCCCGCCGGAAGAAGCCGCACTATGAGGAAGCAGGGGGTCAAAGGTCAAGCACAACAAGGAAACAATGCACAATGGGTTGGGGAGATAACCAGCTCATGCGTTCCAGCCCCTTTGTTGCAAAGGATATAATTTTCAACATGCAGGCGGGATTGGTCTCAATTTTTTGCACCAGGAGTGGTAGTTTTGGGGGTTGCCAAATGCACACAATCTGGGGCTGCTGTGGGCTCCTCCGCAAGGCTACAATTCCAAGGCAAAAAATATCAAGCAGAATTGATAAGAAGTGAGCCGACACCACTGAGAAAATGGCGAATCTGGTGCCGCAAGGATGCCACACGCGGTGGTCAGAACTTCAAGCATGCCCTTGAATTCACCTGCATAGAACTAAAGATCAACTTCCATGCTACCCTCTTAAGAAAGGTGCAGGTATATTCATGACCCATCTTGCCTGTAGTGATCTTCTGGAGGAGAGCTTTCCCCAGCAGCCAATACAGGCAGCCACAGCTGGAGAGCACTTCCAGGATTCACTTTCTACCGTATATTTTGTGCATCTTGGATGCTGAATTTGCGGCACACAAAGATACTAAGCCATAGGGAGGAGCAGGAAAACATCCTCTTGGGCGGTGGTTGTTTTCCTGTGTTCAGTTGTCACTAGAGTAAATGAGATGCTTTTTGCCACTTCAGCTGGGCTGGTGAAACTCCCCACTTGAATATGGCCAGTTATTTCTGGGAGTTGGAATACAACATAGCACTAGTGGAGACTTAGCTTTGGAAGTGCTCTGCAAGCCATGACTGCCTCCACATTTTTAATCTGCATTTGGTACTCTAGGAACAGGAGGTATGAATCCTCCCCCCCCCCCTTTCTGGGAACCAATACAAGCAGAGGGAGGCTTGAAAACACACATTCCCTCAATGACAAGGTAATGGTTGGAGTTGCTCTGGAAAAACGGGCCAATTTAGGCTTGCGCCCCGGGAAGGTCACTTTGGTACTGTAAACGCAGCAGTTTGACTTCACCCCCGGAGGTGCACTCCATTGTGTCTTGAGACAGACAGATGCCAACAACTAAGGGATTTCTGAAAAGGGTCAGGCACACAGGCACTACGCAGCATGCTCCAAGCATCAACGAAGTAAACGGCTTAAGAACAAGTTCAAATACCCGCTGGACATGTAAAGAAAAAGACGGTATCTATTATCATGTGGTGGGCATGTAAAATAATTTAAAAAATTCTGGGAGATGATATATAATGAAATGAAAAAAAATATTTTAAATAACTTTTGTTAAAAAACCAGAAGCCTTCTTATTAGGAATTACAGGTACCGAGATACCAAAGGACCAAAATAGACTGTTTATGTACACGACAACAACCTCATGGATGCTATTAGGAAGAAAACAACCCTGACCAGTGAAGAATGGCAAACCAAGTTGATGGACTATGCTGAAATGGCAAAATTAACTGGGAAGCTCAGAAATCAAGAGGACAAGAACTTTTAAAAAAATGGGAAAAGTTTACAATCTATTTACAAGACCATTGTAAGCAGGTTCAAACATTAGCAGGATTTTAACCAGACTTGTAAACTAACGAAAGTATGGATAATTTGGAAGGATTAAACTTGGATAGTATTGATATGCAGTTGTAAATATTACCACTAGGACCCATGGAAGGGATGAGGGGAAGTCAAGATATTCAGAGCAATCTTGGTATTCGGATCTTGAATTTTGTTGTTGTTGTATGTTTATATTTTTAAAAATCATATCTATCATCTGTCTATCTATCTACATCTATCATCTATCTATCATCTATCTATCTATATCTATCTATCTATCTATCTATCTATCTATCTATCTATCATCTATCATCATTTATCTACTATCTATCTATATCTATCATCTATCTATCTATCATCTATCTATCATCTATCTATCATCTATCTATCTATCTATCTATCTATCTATCTATCTATCTATCTATCATCTATCTATATCTATCTATCTATCTATCTATCTATCTATCTATCTATCTATCTATCATCTATCTATCTATCTATCTATCTATCTCTATCTATCTATCTCTATCTATCTATCTATCTATCTATCTATCTATCTATCTATCTATCTATCATCTATCTATCATCTATCTATCTATCTATCTATCTATCATCTATCTATCATCTATCTATCTATCTATCTATCTATCTATCTATCTATCTATCTATCTATCATCTATCTATCTATCATCTATCTACTACCGTATCTATCATCTATCTATCTATCTATCTATCTATCTATCTATCTATCTATCTATCTATATCTATCATCTATCTATCATCTATCTATCTCTCAATGAGTTGGTGAAGGACCGACCATAATACAAATGACTACTGTTATCGTCTTATCCTGAGGTATGCACCAAAGGATCCCAAATACTCAGCTGATGCCTTGGTTAATCAGGTTCTAAATATAGTTTCCTCTCAGTCCAACCGGTTTCTCTATGGTGACAAAAACGGCTATAGCAAGCATCCCACAGATACAATGAGCTGCTTGGCTGTTCTCCAATATTAACTGCACAAGCTAAATGCAAGCACCCAAGTCAGAGCAGATTACATCGCTTCTGGATAAAGCTGGGGCGGGAAGCAGTTAACTTCTTGCCTGGTCCATTTCAAACTGGCTTGGCTAGTTTGTTTGTTTTTTGTGTGAATGCCTGAACACTTTGTTCTCCAGTGAGGCCAGCCCGCCTATAGCATATTTATATCAGCCCCGAAAATACTGCTAAGGCATTTGAGCTTGCCACAGAAAATTATGTGGGTTGCTGCGTGTTTTCTTCTCTTTTGTGCGGCCCGGGTTGGCTTTGCAGAAGCAGTTTTGAGAGTGTCTCTCTACAAATATGGGGGCCAAGAGAGAGGAAAGGAAGGAGCTGCTGTTTCTAGCGTGTCACCCCTTGCTCCCAATTTCAAACCCCCCCTCCTCTTCTCACCTTCCACAGCAGTAAGACGATGACGCCCAAAAGCAGAAGTCCGGCTGCTACGGCAACCAGCACCAGCCAGAGCTCAATCTCAGTTGGTTGCTCCTCGATCAGCTCAGAGTCGATGGTCACCGAGAACTGAAGGAAGGGGAAAAAGGGGAGAGGTGGGTTTGCCTCAAGGGAGGAAGGGCAGAATGGAGGGGACACTGACTCAGTGCTGAATTTTTCAACTTCCCCAAATGAGAGGTGTAACGTGACTTGGGAATTCGAATGGTATTTTGGTTTAAATGAGTATAATTTACTTTTGCTTGGTAAATAAAATGTGTGTCAAGCTGCACAGAAATCATTAAAAATGATTGCCAAGTACAGTGGTACCTCGGGGTAAGAACTTAATTCGTTCCGAAGGTCCGTTCTTAACCTGAAACTGTTCTTAACCTGAGGTACCACTTTAGCTAATGGGGCCTCCTGCTGCCGCTGCCGCGCAATTTCTGTTCTTATCCTGAAGCAAAGTTCTTAACCCGAGGTACTATTTCTGGGTTAGCGGAGTCTATAACCTGAAGCGTCTGTAACCTCAAGCGCCTGTAACCTGAGGTACCACTGTACTTGCAGTTATATGATGTACTGATATTATTATTTATTACTCTACAGTGGTACCTCAAGTTAAGTACTTAATTCGTTCCGGAGGTCCGTTCTTAACCTGAAACTGTTCTTAACCTGAAGCACCACTTTAGCTAATGGGGCCTCCTGCTGCCGCTGCTGCGCGATTTCTGTTCTTATCCTGAAGCAAAGTTCTTAACCCGAAGTACTATTTCTGGGTTAGCGGAGTCTGTAACCTGAAGCATCTGTAACTGAAGCGTATGTAACCTGAAGCGTATGTAACCTGAGGTACCACTGTACTGTTATTATTTAGCATTACCTGAATTGTCAGAAGGGGAAATTCATTGGTTTTCCCGAGAGCAGTTCACATGCTCCTTCGTCAAATGTTGATTTACCAAGCTGATTGTTGCCCAGTCATAAAAACAATGGCAGATTTGAATTCCTCACGCCCAAAAATATATTGCATCCCCACTGAAGAAATGTGCAAAAATTAAGTTTCACCCCCTAAAACGTCATCGACCTGGTGTGTGGAGATCAACATGGCCACACCTGAGGTAGAAAGTGGGGTTCAAATGCTCCCAGCTCAGGCCTCGTATTCTCATCCGGGTTGATTAATTCATCAGCAATTGGCGAAACATCCCATGCCTAGGCCTGAGTTTACAGATGGGGATGTGAGGGCAGCTTTGTTTGCTTTGAAAATAAATCAATTTCATTTGAATTAACAAAGCTGCTGCTCAAGAGGAACTGACGGAGTTTGCTAATTATGGGAGTTTAACTGGTAGAGAGAAAGGAATGGCGACTGGGAGGCCTTCCATTGGGATTGATAGTTGGACCTTGGGACTTTCTGAAGTTTCCTCACCCAACAAATCCAGTCTCACTCACCCACACAGTGTCGTTTTTCATGTTGATGGTGGAGGAGTTTGTCCTGAGAAACAGCGTGGCTTTCCCATCCACCTTCACACGGTCAAAGTTGTTGTAGTCCTACATTTCCATGGGGGGGGGGGTGGATAGGAAAGAGCGAGCATATCAAAAAGCAGCAACATAAACTCTTTTTCCAATGTACTCCCACCCACTGAGCACAGGAAGATGCCTTTGAATGAGAGACCCTTTCATTGAACATCCTGATTTGCTGACAAACAGCTTACAGTGGTGCCCCGCAAGACGAATGCCTCGCAAGACTAAAAACTCGCTAGACGAAAGGGTTTTCCGGTTTTGAGTTGCTTCGCAAGACGAATTTCCCTATGGGCTTGCTTCGCAAACGTCTTGCGAGCCTTGTGATTTTTTTTCGCCCCCCCCTTTCTAAGCCGCTAAGCCGCTAATAGCCTTTTAGCCGCTAAGCTGCTAAGCCTTTAATAGCCGCTAATCCGCTAATAGCGCTAATCCGCTAAGCCGCTAATAGGGTTGCTTCGCAAGACGAAAAAACCGCTAGACGAAGAGACTCGCGGAACGGATTATTTTCGTCTTGTGAGGCACCACTGTACTTGGAGGTTAGATTACATTCTGCTTTTATTGAGAAATTTGTTTCGGTTTGTTTACAGGGCAGTTATACGGTGACGAGCATCCATCTTGCATTCAACCCGATTTGCTTTTGTGACTCTTCCCATCCCATCATTCGTTCATCCCAGTCACTTTCCAAGCCACAACAAGTCTCAGTTTGTGTGTTTTTTCATAGTGGGTTTGTTGTACTAAGGAGAAGGGTGCCTTTTCACCCACTTTAAATTGCGCAAAGCGGACGTTCTGGAATGTTCCAGAACTGTCAGGGACCATGCTGAGGAGGGCTGCACTGAGGAAGAATGGTGGGAGTCTCCCCCTCCCCTGATCCTGAATCTTCCCAGGAGCAGGAGGACAGTATAGATTTGGAACAGTGGTTTGCAGAGGGGCATAGTTCAGAAGGCAGTAGCTGGGAAATACTGGATGGGGAACAGCTAGGAGAAGAAACATTGGGAGAGAGAGAGAGTTAACAGATTCATAGTCTCTGGACAGAATCCACCCGCCTCCCCCAAACTCCCGGAGAGCTCAGAAAATGTCAGAACAGAAAGCACAGAGGCTACAAACTCAGATTATAAAACATAGAAGTGACGTAGATTAATAGGGATGGGGGGGAGTGTGATCCTTAATCCACCCGCCATTTCTAGGAGATGGGCTCTTTGTTCTCTCGCTGTGATTATTAAACATTCTAACTGGTAAGACGTTCCTTCCATTTGATCTCTTATCAACTGCCATGGGGGGAGGAAGATGATTCCCCGAAGCCTGACAAGAACATTCCCTCTCTCGTCAACCAGAGAAAATCCTTGTGAGGGGACAAAACGAGCGTCTACCTCGATGAACGTGCTGTTCCAGACCCGGGCACGAACGATCACGTTTGTCACATCTGCAGCATCCCACAAGGGGCATTCGAACCAGATACAGCGACATGTTCCTTTGGAACAGCTCTGGAATCAAAGGAAGGGGGGGAATAGATATTTCAGACAGGTGACAATCCCAGCCCTACCAGGAGATGACAGCGGGGGTTGGACTTGGGAACATTACCATTGAGCTACAGCCCAGGAAAACTACAAGTCTCTCCACACCACCAGGCACACTTTTGTACATCTCTCTTAGGTCCCCCCCCTTTCTTCCTAAACCAAATGCAATAGCTCAGATGGTAGAGGTTGAGACTCTTAATCTCAGGGTCAGGGGTGTGAGCCTTACACTAGGGAAAAGATTCCTGCATTGCAGGGGGTTGGACTAGATGACTCTTGTGTTCCTTCCCAACTCTACAATTCTATGTGAAGTGTAGGTGGGTTCCCACAAGGCAACACACAGAGATAACAGCAAGAACCTTTATTGAACTAACAGAACTGGACAACAGGGGCAAAGCGACTGCTTATATACATTCCTGAAGGCCTGGGCCACTCCCACTCCCAACGTGATTGGCTGTCTAAACTTCCAAGCTGCGAATCATGACTCAGAGTTTAAGGGCCAATGGCAGAGGCCCAAATCCTGAAATGTTCTGTGATTGGATGTCATGTATTGAATGGGAACAGAGGGGCTCAGAATCCTTAGTCCAGACTCAAGCTCAGGGAAACACAGGCCCCACCAAATACATAACACTATGATTCTATGATCTGGAGGTATGGTGCAGGAATAAATGGCCGGTTATTAATTGGGAGGCCTTTCTATAGGCACAATCTGAAACATTTGCATTTTTTTTCCAGCTGCCCTATAGGACATGGGGATATAGTCCAATTGAAGATTATATCTGAAAATAGTCCAGAGGTAAAAAGCGTGCCCAGATCCCTAGAGCTACTAAGCTTTCCCTGCCTGAAAAAATGTACCATTCCCATCCAACCACTCACTGGCTAGGTTTGGATTATCACAACTTGATTTAATAAGCTCTGATCTGACAAAGATTTGTGCCCGTGGATCATAGCTGTGAACTTTTCCCTTTTCTTGTGAGGAATCCTATTCGGAATAAGGGAAAAGTTGACAGCTATGCCATGGATGCAGCTGACTCACCCCTCCCTTCATGCTGGCTGAGCAAACAAACCAGGAAGTCTTCAGCTAACCATGGTTTCTTGTATTGCCCAAATGAGGAAACAATGGTTAATGGCTCCAGAATATGAAGGCTTGTTTCTGAAGCAGTTTAATCATAGTTTCCAGGTTGGGACATACCTGCTCCTGAAAAGCCCTCCTGAGCAGAAGTGGAAATGACACAAGATGGACAAAATGCTCACCAGTAACGTTTCTGACTTGGCTTTCTTGGAAGCTGGCAAGGTGACAGGAAGCTCACGCTTCGGAGATGCTTGCAGATCGCGCTTCCTCCGTGCTGAGGTCCTGCTCCAGTCGTGTAGCTGGGAAAGGAGAAGAACTGGTCAGCTTTCTCTTCCTGAAAAAGCATGTGCTCAAGAAGACTATCCTCTCCTGTCACACCAGTGCGACACACAACACAACTTGAGAACCACTGGTATAGCTAGTAAAGGTAAAGGATCCCTGGATGGTTAAGTCCAGTCAAAGGTGACTGTGGGGTTGCGGCGCTCATCTCGCTTTCAGGCCAAGGGAGCCGGCATTTGTCCACAGACAGCTTTCCTGGGCATGTGACCAGCATGACTAAACTGGTTCTGGCACAACGGAACACCGTGACGGAAACCAGAGCTCACGGAAATGCAGTTTACCTTCCCGCCATAGCAGTATCTATTTATCTACTTGCACTGGTTTGCTTTCGAAGTGCTAGGTTGGCAGGAGCAGGGACTGAGCAATGGGAGCTCACCCCGTCGTGGGGATTCGAACCGCCGACCTTCCAATCGGCAAGCCCAAGAGGCTCAGTGGTTTAGACCGCAGCGCCACCGGCATCCCAGGTATAGCTAGTAGAAATAGCTACATACAGTACATGGTGGCTGGCCAAGGTGGAAGATATAGCCCATTGAAAAGGGTACAAAGAAAAAGGAGTAAATGGAGAGAGAGAGAGAGAGAGAATGCAAAAGGGAGAAAGGGCTCGCGCTGGAGATCAGACTTACTGTGAGGTTGCGGTTGTTGATGACCTCCCCGGGGGGTACGCAGAGCCGACTCTCGTTCCCACTCCTTTTCACCAGGATCTGAGTTGGGTACAGCAGCCATTTTCCGTTGCTGGCCTCATAAGGCCATTCGAAGCCTAGTGTGATTGTTCCTGAGGATCCTAAAGACTCGCCTTTCGTGGTCACCTGAGAGTCAAAGGCAAGGTGACAAGATGAAGCCCCTTTTCAACCTCAGGTTGTGATAGAAACAGTACAAAGAAGGACAACTCAGAGAGCAGCAGTGCAGAGGTCGCCCTGAAGAAAAACCTAGGCAAAAGCGTGGGGACAGGACAGGAGTTTATAAAACACACTCGGTGTCAAGATTATTCAATTTCATCCTGTACTCTCAGAATTGGAAAGAAGGAGAAGTACCAACCAAGGAGGTAAGTTTCAAAAGTGAATGGACTATCTGGAAATGGCAAAACTGACAGCCAAAATAAGAGATAAAAGAGCCAAACATATTTGGGAAGACAAGGTGTAATAAATCAGTGCCAATACAACAGTTTCAAAGTCAAGGTATAAGAGCATATATCCAGTTCAGTCCAGGCTGACTGGCAACCATTCTCCAGGTTTTCAGATTGAGGTCTATCCTATCCCTACCTGGAGATGTCAAGGATTATTATTATTTTATTACTATTTATTAAATTTATATACCGCCCTATATAGGTTGCAGGGCGGTTCACAGAACCTGCATGCAGGACTGATCCTCAACCACTGAGCTATTGCCCTTCCTAAAAGTATTTTGAAAGAACCAGATTTGGGGGGAAATGTCAAGAATCCATTTCAACCAATCAGTTTACCCTTCTGTTTCAGGCACAAATAGGAAGGGAAAGAGATCTTTTCAAATATTTGGCTTAACATTTTGCACTGGGAGAAATCAGCGGCATAGCGTGGGTTGTCAGCACCCGGGGCAAGGCAAGTAATTTGCGCCCCCTAACCCGGGGCAAGGCAAGTAATTTGCACCCCCTAACCCCTAACCTGCCGCCGCTGCCAGCTTATTCTTGCTGCTGCCTGGGCTGGGGTATTTACGGTAAGATAGCCACGGCGGCGGCGGCAGGTCTGTGTCAGGTGATCTGAGGCGAGTTGCCGCTGGCGCTGCCGCCCAAACGATGCCGCTTGCCTGGAGGAGGAGGAGGGCAGAGAGGCGAGGAAAATGCAACATGGCCCAGCAGCTGCAGCAGCAGCAGCGGCGGCGGGGCTGTGAGGAGGGGCTGCCTGGCGCGCCCTCCGCGGCCCTGACGCACGGGGACCGCGGCGAGCGCTGAGAGCCGCTGCCAGCTCGTCGGTTCCGCGAGACATGGGGCTCTGCTACAGCCTGTGCCCGAGGCTCTTCGGCGACTCCGGAGGCGGCGAGCGCCCCCCCCCAGATGTTGCGGCCGGTGCGGCCGGCGCCCCCTGCACCCCCCACGCTACGCCACTGGGAGAAATAAGCCGACACACATGCCCTTCAGGAACCCTCTGTCTTGGGCTTGTACTCTCAACTCTACAAATTAACAAATCGCATTGGGATGGATTCAATCCTAGATTGTGTCTTAGTTGCTTTCTAGACAAGGTATCAATGGCCCCGTATGGAATCCAGCTCAAGTAAACAAGCCCATGTGGGTTTTAACCATGAAGCAAATCTGGGATACCTCAGTTGGCAGAACATGGGATTTGAGGACTAGATGATCCTTGTGGTCCCTTTCCAAGTTTATGATTCTATGCTTCAATTTTTAAGAGCATTAGCCTCACCTCTCAAGGAATATCCTTACCTGGAAGTCAAATTCGATGGGACTGCCTACGTCTTCCTCATGCTTCATGGCTGACTCGCCCATGACTGTCCCACTGAAATGCGTCTGGAGCCAACGGTTGACTCTGCCACAGAGAGAGGAACACAGTGAGAGGTGAGAAGGATGGAAAAGTTTACAAAGTGAGGAACCGGGCTCTGTTCACAAATTGGATGAGCGGGTCACACTTTCCTAATTTAGTCAATGGGAAGTGTAACCTACTAGAATTCATTTAGGAAATGTCTGCAGTGTAGATTTATACGGCTGTCAGGCCTACTTGACTATCAAATCTGCTAATCGTGGAATCCTGGGAACTCAAGCAACTTCATAAAACAATATGGGGAACTATGAGAGTCAAGGGTAGACTCCCAGTACGTTTCCGAGCACAATTCAAAGTATTGGTGCTGACCTTTAAAGCCCTAAATGGCCTCGGCCCAGTATACCCGAAGGAGCGTTTCCACCCCCATCATTCAACCCAGATACTGAGGTCCAGCGCCGAGGGCCTTCTGGCAGTTCCCTCTCTGCAGGGAACCAGGCAGAGGGCCTTCTCGGTAGTGGCAACCCGCCCTGTGGAACACCCCCCCCATCAGATGTCAAGGAAATAAACAACTATCAGACTTTTAGAAGACATCTGAAGGCAGCCATGTTTAGGGAAGTTTTTAACGTTTGATGTTTTATCATGTTTTTAATATTCTGTTGGGAGCTGCCCAGAGTGGCAGAGGGCCTTCTTGGTAGTGGCATCCTCCCTGTGGAACATCCTCCCATCAGATGTCAAGGGAGTTGAAGAACTACACAACTTATATGTGTGTGTGTGTGTGTGTGTCCAAAGTTTGATGGCATGGGTCATCGCGGCAGGTCTGGAAGCTCCCTGGGTTTGTTATGAGGAGGGAGAGGTCTCAGCATAACCAGCGGCGCAGCTAGCCGCTCGGGGGCCCAGGGCGGCGCGGACCTGCAGCCAGGGGCGAGTGCCATGCGGGAGAGCCATGGCAGGGCGCGCTGCGTGGAGCCTCGCTGCAGCCTCCCCCTCAGCTGTAGGGAGGCTGGGGCGGTGGGCAGAGGCCAGAGCGGAGCTTGCGGGCAGTTCGCCCGCAGACGCATGGCTCAGGCACGCTGCAGGCGCCGAGGTGTGACGCCCAGTGCCCCCCGCCTCCCCTAGCTACCAGTGGCATAGGAAGGGGTGCGCAGTGGGTGTGGGGCTGAAAGGACAGACGAGGCTCCAGCAACCACCCCCACCGCCAAGTCCGCCGGTCCTGCAATCCCTTGCACGCTGACTTGGAAGTACAGTGGTACCTTGGGTTACATACGCTTCAGGTTACAGACTCCGCTAACCCAGAAATAGTACCTCGGGAGGGGCAGAGAGCTGCGAGTGCGCCCCCCCAGATGTTGCGCCCGGTGCGGCCGGCCCCCCCTGCACCGCCCATGCTACGCCACTGAGCATAGCACACATCCCACTTTACAATCTCATCTTGAGAGGCATTTGTATACAGTCAAACATTGGTTCCCGAATGCCTCCATTATTGTATGTTTTGGCTCCTGAATGCCAAAAACCCAGAAGTAACTGCTACGGTTTTCAAAACATTTTTGGAAGCCGAACGTCCGACGTGGCTTCCATTTTGAGTTTCCCTATTGTATTGAGGTTTCCGCTTTCAGTTTTCGGTTGTCGAATGTTTTAGAAGTCGAACGGTCTTCCAGAATAGATTACGTTCCAGAACCAAGATTTGATTGTATCACTTCTTTTTTAAACCCACGTCAAACATCGCGGTGGATACACACATGCTCAATGAAGCATCAATGGTGTAGTCTACCAACAGGACTGCCGACACAGGTGCGAGATCTTCTTGATAGCTGATCCTATTAGGGACAGGACATTGTTCAGAGAGGTCAGTCGCAGCCTCTAAGATGGTATGCTTAACAGTCAACAAATACAGCGCCCCTTCCCTCCTCAGTAGAGTCATGCGAGAAGCCCCAGGCCATGTGGGGTGAGTCCACACAGAGGTCCCTACCCACGCCAGTCCTTCTAGGGTTGGCCCAAGACTTTGCGGCACCTGAGGCAAACCACAAAATGGCGTCCGACCCACCAGGGAAGAAGGAGTGAGTGAAGAGCTACATTGGGAACAAGTCGGGGAATCAACTCAACCTTGCCAGATGTTTGGAGTGGGACTCAAAGGTTGTTGCAGGGAAAGAGACCCACCCTGAATCATGTCAGGTGGGTGCAGACCCCAGGAGACCCCAGAGGACACCCCCTGTCATTTGGGAGAAGACCGGCAGCCCCTCCTATTCTCCAATTATCTGCTGTATTTTGGGAGGTGACAGATCCAGCCTCCAAGGAGTGCACCAAAGCCGTCGCTGCCACCACAGCAATGGAGCAACAGTGGGCGACGCGTTCCTTGTGTGGCTCATGTGGATTTTGCCGCCCAAGGCGGTTGGCTCACCTTACCACATGGGTGGACCGGCCCTGCAGCCCTTCAGTCAATACCCAAGTAAAAGGTAAAGATGAAGGTAAAGGACCCCTGGATAGTTAAGTCCAGTCAAAGGCATCTATGGGGTGGTGGCGCTCATTTCGATTTTAGGCCAAGGAAGCTGGCGTTTGTCCACAGACAGCTTTCCAGGTCATGTGGCCAGCAGGACTAAACCGGTTCTGGTGCAACGGAACACTGTGACGTAAACCAGAGCGCATGGAAACGCTGTTTACCTTCCCACCGCAGCGGTACCTATTTATCTACTTGCACTGGTGTGCTTTCAAACTGCTATACCAAAGTACACTAGTACTGACTGGGCTTCCTGATGCATGTTCCCATTTCCAACCACAACTATTTAGCCCCGGGGAGAAGACTCACGTGGAAGGCTCCACCTGCACGGTGACATCTTGAGTGTTTAGCGTAACTCCAGTAACTTCAAACGTGATAGTCAGCTCTGCCTGGAAAGGAGGCAAGAGTGCACAACCTGGTTACCCAGCATGCTTTGCTGCAGGTTGCAGAAGCAAATCAGAAGAACCAGCATTTCAACTACTGGTCAAATAAGGGGATATAAACCTAACACTGCAGCAGCAACACCCTACATATGGAACTCCCTCTTAGAAGATATTCATTTATCTCCCTCCACCCCGCTCTCAGCAGCACTCTTTAAATATAAAAGGAAAATGTTTTTATTTTACCTATTGTGTGGTATAGTACTCTGTTACCACTGATGGGTGATACTTTGATGGGATTTGATAGGTTTTTAACTATTGTGCTTTTTTAATCGGATGGGTAAGGTGCAAAAATGTTGCATGAACAAACGAAAACCATTCCTTTAAAAACCCACAAACATAAATAAATAAGAATAAAAATGTGCACCCCACCACCGAGACCATTCCATTGTAAGTATCCAATCTCCCAAAATTTCAACACCTCTTGCGATGGTTTGAGCCCTTTCCGTTTTAGCAGTACAAATTCTACAAACACCTTCCATATCTCCTCAAAATTGTTTCTTCTGCATATTCCCTGTCTACGAAGATCATTCCTGAGGAATAATTACATGTGATCTGACTCTGGTACCATATGTCTGCTCTCCCTCAATGGCACACTGGGGCTGTGTACACACGATACATTTAAAAGACAAGAATCCTCCCGCCGAGAATCCTGAAAATTGTAGTTTACCTCAGAATATATGAACACCCACACCATACATTGAGAAAACATTGAACACCCATTTAGAGCACAGGGCTTCCTACTCCAAGGATTCTAAGAAACGTAGTTTACCCCTCACGGAACTATGATTCCCCAGCCCCCTTAGCAAACCACAGTTCCTGGGATTCTCTGTGTATGCGAGAGAGCGCTTTAAATGTGAATGCAGGCTGGGAGCAGGTCAAAGGTTCCAGTGTTTTGTTATTTCCAAGTCCCAAGGGTCACTAAGGGGGCCAAGGCCTGAACACATCTTTTGTGCTGGATGAGATGTCACAGTTTGAGTCTCCCACTTCAGAACCCTCACCTTTCTGAAACACCTGGACCCAAAACAACTCACCCGCTGGTCCATTTTGAAAGGGTTGCCGAGCTCACATATCACCGTCTCCTCGAACCTGCAGGTGCCGCTCTGAAGAAAGAAAAGGCCACCTTGCTGAATATTGCCTTATTTCGTCAGCATTTTGAGACTTCTGTACAAAAGCAGACTCGATGTGGTGCAGCAAATGTTGCGCTCAGACAGGGGCAACTTCCACCAGCCCCATTGTCGGGAGTCTAGTTCCCGGCTTGATAACACAGTGAGCGTAGTTAATTAAAAAGGATGCTTTATTCTCAAACAAACAGCTCCAGATGGCTTTAACACAGCCTCCGCCATCATCAGTCAAGATGACCCTTCTGAAGACTGCATCCGGCGTGACCAGAAGCAACTGAACTTTCGCTTCATATGTCTTTTGTTTTGCTTCCTAACTTTCAGCCCTCCCATTCGGCGAGACCTCGGACTCAGTGGGTCAGCTCCCGCCTCTTCCCCATTCTCTGAGAGGCTGTCTATTTCCCACCTGTTTGTTCTTTGAATGCGTTCTAGCCTGCTCTCAGTCATTCCCTTATCAGCTGGCATTCCAAGGGGGTTGGGGGGTTGGCACTAGCCGCTGCTCATCCTGCATGGCTGTTAACCCTCTCTGTTCCTGGCTGCTTTCTTCAGCTGGCTGCAAACCGTTCCTGGGAGCTGGCTCATTCATGACTCCCATCAAGCTGTGGTCAAAGTTTATGGGGCAACATATGGAAGGTCCAAGGTTTTCCCCACTTACCCCAATCCAAATCCTCCTTCCCAGTCCTTGGATGGCCTTAGACAGGTTGCCAGATGAACCTACCTAACAACTGAATACTATTATTCTATACCACTCACCACTGGTCCTGTTAGCCAGGGATGATGGGAGTTGTAGTCCCAAAACATCTGGAGGGCCGAGTTTGCCTATTGCCTATGCCTGGATTAGGGCATCTTTGTATATATTCATATATATATATATATATATATATGCAGGTTTTGGTGTCCTCGGGTGTCTTCCCGTGTAAAAGTTGGGGTGTCTAGGCGACGTTTCAACGAGGTCTCACTCGTCATCTTCAGGCTGGTGCTTTCGGCTTCTTGTTACTGGAACAGAGCAGGATCTCAGTGTTTGAGTTCCTATAAATACTGTTGAGGAGGTGTGGTGTATAGCCTCCAATGTTCTGGGCAGAGAGGAAGTTCCCAGGCTAGTGTGCCTTTTCTTCTTTTGTTCCTTAATTACTTGAGGGATATCTTGAGTGATTTCTTGAGTGATATCCTGAGTACCACTTAGGTGGGTCATTAGGTGTGGATTAGTTGCTAAAGCCTTCGTGTTTTTCTGAGAAGATGGCTGTACTGCACTTAGTTGTGCTCTGGCTTGGCTTCGTGTATGGGGGCGAGATGTGATTTTGTGGCCTGTGCCAGCCAGATCTGTGTAGGGATTGCAGGGGGGTGCAGCATCCGGAGGTGCCAACATGGTTTGGCTACTGGATGGTGTCTGTAATTTATCTGTGGAGAGGGTCTGGGTTTGGGTCTGGTGTGGTTGATTGGTGATGGCGTTCTGTGTGCCTCTGGATCTGGTGTCGGTTTTTGTGGGGAGGGCTAATTTCCAGATGTCTGGCAGGCGGGATGTGTCGTCACGCTTGTTCATGTTGTGAGGGTGTTTCTCTATCTCGATGGCTTCCATGATTATTCTCTTGTGGTGATGTTCCATGTTAAAGAGCAATTTGGAGTCTGCAAAATTAATTTCGTGTCCTGTTTCTTTCATGTGTTGGAAAAGAGAGGAAGTTTTTTCTTCTTTTTTGACGGCATTCTTGTGTTCTGCGATGCGTGCATTTATTCGTCTGTTTGTTTGTCCAATGTACGTGGCTGGGCAGACTTTGCAGGGTATTTCATAGACCCCTTGGTTTTCCAATTGGATTTTATCCTTGGGGTTTCTGAGGATATTGGCTATTTTTTGGTTGGTGCAAAAGGCTGTTTTGATATTGTGTTTATGGAGGATTTTGCTAATTTTATCTGTAGTGCCCTTGATATAAGGAAGGAGGGCCATGCCATTGTTTTCTTCTGTGTCAATCAACCACACCAGACCCAAACCCAGACCCTCTCCACAGATAAATTACAGACACCATCCAGTAGCCAAACCATGTTGGCACCTCCGGATGCTGCACCCCCCTGCAATCCCTACACAGATCTGGCTGGCACAAGCCACAAAACCACATCTCGCCCCCATACACGAAGCCAAGCCAGAGCACAACTAAGTGCAGTACAGCCATCTTCTCAGAAAAACACGAAGGCTTTAGCAACTAATCCACACCTAATGACCCACCTAAGTGGTACTCAGGATATCACTCAAGAAATCACTCAAGATATCCCTCAAGTAATTAAGGAACAAAAGAAGAAAAGGCACACTAGCCTGGGAACTTCCTCTCTGCCCAGAACATTGGAGGCTATACACCACACCTCCTCAACAGTATTTATAGGAACTCAAACACTGAGATCCTGCTCTGTTCCAGTAACAAGAAGCCGAAAGCACCAGCCTGAAGATGACGAGTGAGACCTCGTCGAAACGTCGCCTAGACACCCCAACTTTTACACGGGAAGACACCCGAGGACACCAAAACCTGCATTCCTGTACCCGTGAAAATCTACGAAAGCATATATATATTCATATTCATATATATATTTACAGTGTTTCGTGTACTTCTTTCTTTTTGAATCACTTTATTGCTTCGTAATTGATTTGTTTTTTGAAAAATCACATATATATTCTCCTTATTTTTATATAAAAAGGGGGGGGGTGAAGTCTCTCACCGGCCGGACAGAGGAAGGCAGCAGAGAGGGCGGGAACGTTATGTTGAGGAAAGCCTCATGAGCATCTTCTCCATTCGTGGGTGACGACGGTATATTTGTGACGCTGATGCCCAGGTTCAGTTTCTTGACATCCCGGCTGTACTGCAACACCTGCATCCCATTCCGCCTGCATCGGGGGAGATGGCACAGATGGGAGGGGGGTGGCCAGAGGCAGAGCAGGGCTGTCCACCCACCCACCTCCTAGTTATCTCTCTGGAGGTGCCAGGGAAAGAACATCAGATGTGCAAAGTCTGCGTGCTGCTGCCCCTAGTGGCGAGCCAGTGAGGTGCAAAGGGAACGTATTTCTCACCTGGGCAACTTCTGGTTCTGGTCATTTAAAAAGACAGCCTTTATCTTCAGGTTGCTGTTGCATTTGTTGTCTGTTCCACATTGCTTCTTGAACTGAATCTGAAAGCGGTAGAGTTGTTGCTATTATTACAATCTAGTTGGGTTTTAAAAATTTCTGTATCAACAATTATATACCAGTATATATATATATATATATGTATGTGTGTGTGTGTGTGTGTGTGTGTGTATACCAGTATACTACAGAAAGTATCAAACTAGTACCTATACATACAATAAGAATCTATATACAGTGGTACCTTGGCTCCCGAACAAATCGGCTTCTGAACGCTGCAAACCCGGAAGTGGGCGTTCTGGTTTGCAAATGTTTTTCGGAAGCTGAACGTTCAACACGTCTTACAATGGAGTCCAGGAAGCTCCTGCAGCCAATCAAAAGCCACGCCTTGGTTTTTGAATGGTTCCGGGAGTCGAACGGACTCCGGGAACGGATTAAGTTTGACAACCAATGTGCCACTTGTAATACCACAATATTTCGACTTGTTCCATTGCTTTATGTGAACAAGGCCCACCGGCATGGTGTGGCTGATCTAACCAGCTGGCGTAAGAGGCTTTCCATGCAGTTCTACCACCCTGGGCTGGGTCTACAATGATCTGGAAAATGGTATATAAAAAAAAAGTAGTCTAGTTCTCAATGCAACTTTACATTGATGACCGACCACTGCTCCACAGCACCCTCTGGTGTCACATTTTTTATAATGCGTTTTAATGTTTTAACTGACTGGTGTAGATTAGTCCATGGTTGGCTCCCTGGTTCACACATAACATTAAGCCAAACCATTGCTAAGCATGAACAAAGGAGCGAGCAGGTATTTGGGGACTGAGAGGAAAAATTGCTGTCTCTCAACTACCCAGAGCTAAGCCACATCTTGGCTTAACCATTACATCCAAACCTGCAAAAGGTCAACAAAAACTATTTCTCAATCTTTAGGTAAGAAGGTTTGTATGTGTGCCACAGAGGTGAGAGGTGCATCACTGAATGAAACCTCCATGTTATTTTGGAGCAAGCCAGCCAGTCTCTCCAAAGCCAGGATTCACCTAGAGCAGTTGTGATAGCCACTCTGACCTCATCAGTCATTGAGAGAACTAAGAGCTGCTGGGATGTGTGGGTTTTGAGGTGGTGTAAATGGCAATATGTTGCAAGCAGGGCCGGACTGAGGTTTGATGAGGCCCTAAGCTACTGAAGGTAATGGGGCCCTTTATATGTCCTTTGTCAACAACAAATTGTCACTGCTTTTTGTGTTGAATATATGCTCTATGGTAATTTATGGACCTAATAGGTATCTCAAGCCATTTGCACATGTTGCCGTGCAGCCAGCCCATGGAGAATGTAGGCACCCTATATATAGAAATGAGCAAACCAGTGATATTTTAGGGAGCAGGCTAGCAGGCGGGGCCCATTACTTACATCACAGGAACCTACACAACACAAAACGCTGTTGCTGTATGTAGGTTTTATTTTATTTGTTATTTATCTTATATTTTGGAAATGTACATCCAGGTTTTTTTCCTTTACATTTTTTGGGGCTCCCAAGAGAGTGGGGCCCTAAGCTATAGCTTGTTTAGCTTATACATAAATCCGGTGTATAACTTGCAAGCCATCTTGAAGATCAGTCAACCAAATGGCAGGATATCAACCATCCAAACAAAATAAATATTGCGCTGTGAAGGGTCTCTCAAATTTTGGCTGGCCCACTTGACATATTTAACGTGAAACACAAGCACATGTCAAAGTCATCACACGACGACTGCACAAAGGCCAGCATCACAGAAAACTAGTCTACCTGCATGAGCCCAAGCAACTCATTTTTTAGAAGGTTATTTTGTTCTGTCTCTAAAATGATGGTGAACAGGCTTTCCCACCAGATGGTGCCAGAGGGCAAATTGGATGCTGGATCTACGAAGGCTGATGATGGGAAACCGGAGAAAATTTCTCACAGACATTTGTCTGCGTTTGTACATATGTGTGTGCATGTACATAACTCACCTTAGTGTGCATGTGTTACCCGTTTGCAAGAGACCCCGACCCGTAGTTGGCTTAAACTTAAGCTGCTGGACCAAATTTAGGAATATGCACAGACATTCTAACTGATGCGGGCGAAGGAGCCAGCAAAAGGAATGTTGGCAAATAGAACTGGCAAAGCTCACATCAATTGTAAGATATCAGTCAAATCAAAAATTTAAAAAGGAATGGGAATGTTTCGAAGATTATACGTTAAAGTATTGTTCTAAGAAAGATATGCTAATATGCTTAGAATAAAAATGTAAAGTATATGTGTGAAATGGAAAAGAAAAGAGATAAAAGAAGGACAAATAACGATATATTTGGAGAATGCAAGGATAAATGTGGAGATAGAGAGTTAAAGAAGTCGAATTGTGGCGGAGCGAAGCTGCGGGTGGGTGGGGAATACTGTACAACAAGTGTATTTGTTTTCAATGTTTTTGAACTGTTTTTTTCTTTTTCTTTGTAAATTTCTTTTTTTCTGTTGATGTTCTCTTTTTTTCTGTATTATTTAAATAAATAAATACTTTTTTAAAAAAATAAAGAACATTGGCAAATAGAGCAGCGCCTGCGGCATAACTGAAAGGTCGGTGCAATTAGCAGAAAGTGGTGAGATCCTAGGGGCAGAAAGAAGAGCAGTATGGGAAAACCAAGCTGTCCCGCCACACTGAGCAACCCGGCAGAAGGCAGAAGGCGGGGGGAGGAGACAAAGAAATTCAACAGCGAATGAGCTTGCGCAAAGCGGGGCAGTTTTGGGGAGGGGAAATGCTTTGGATTACTGCATGGCGCTCACCTCAGTCTGATTCTCACGGGATTGATCCTCGTTCAAGACAGGAAAGGCATCAAGCGAGCGCAGGCCCAACTGGAACCGCATGGGCTTCTCGGCAAGAGAATAGTTCATGGAGAACGCAATGGGGTGCAGCTTGTCCCGCATATCAGCCTGCAGAGCAAGGGAAGAGTTCATTGCAGAAAGCCCTCCACCCAGTTCTGAGTGATTGTACTCTGTCGAGGAATTTGAAAGCTCAGAGGGTCATCTCCAGGGCCGTCTTTAGCAGATGCGGCGCCGGGGTGCAAATATCCGCCCAGTGCCTCCAAATTACCACGGATAGTGTTGGGGTGGCCGTAGCTGCGCACTGCCAGCCATTGGGGGGGCCCGCAAGTCTCCCCCACACCGCTGTGAGAGAGCGATCCCCACAGAGGCTTGGGAGTGAGGCTGCGCCCCTCCCAAGCCTCCTCAGGAGGAGAGTCTCAGTCTCAGTCAGTTTTATTGCACATAGCCAAAGGCTGCCGCAATGTACACAGAATTATTTGACAATTAAAAGAAAATATAAAAGGTAAAGGTAAAGGTACCCCTGCCCGTACGGGCCAGTCTTGACAGACTCTAGGGTTGTGCGCCCATCTCACTCTATAGGCCGGGGGCCAGCGCTGTCCGAAGACACTTCCGGGTCACGTGGCCAGCGTGACAAAGCTGCATCTGGCGAGCCAGCGCAGCACACGGAATGCCGTTTACCTTCCCGCCGGTAAGCGGTCCCTATTTATCTACTTGCACCCGGGGGTGCTTTCGAACTGCTAGGTTGGCAGGCGCTGGGACCGAGCAGCTGGAGCGCACCCCGCTGCGGGGATTCGAACCGCCGACCTTTCGATCGGCAAGCCCTAGGCGCTGAGGCTTTTACCTACAGAAAATATACTGAATTGATAAAAAAGACTTAAAACATTTATATTATTAAAACATTACGTATACTATACAGAGCTATAAAAGTACCCCCATGTACAAATAAAAACATTAAACAATAAAATTCATAAGCTAAAATCATCACATGGTCACTAATGCGCACCTGCCAGCCATATCGATCTCCTCCTGAGGAGGCTGGGGAGGGAAGCTGCATGCCCGCCAGCCTTATGGTTGGCGGGGTGCAGCTGGTGGGCGTGCAGAAGGAGAAGGAGAGGGCGCCGGCAAAGGCACCCAGCCCCCCCACTTGCTGAGGCGCCCCTGAGAGGCCAGTGCCCTGGCGCAATGCACCACTAAGCCCAGAGTGGCTGGGGAAACCCAGCCAGATGGGTGGGGTATAAATAATAAATTATTATTATTATTATTATTATTATTATTATTATTATTATTATTATTAGGCCATATTTCGCTCACACCCAGCCATCCAAATGTATCGCTTAAATTGCCCACTGCCCTCGCCATACCCGCAAGAGGACTTCCAGGGTCTGACACTTCTCCCTTGGCATGGAAAACTGTCCCTTGTAGACTGCGGACTGTGTCCTGGCAAAATATACCCGAGGAGGGCGGCGGTCCCGGTCAGCTTCCACCATGTAGTTCAACTCTGAAATGAGATGCGGGGGGGAAGTGACAGGGTGGGGAAAACAGGCCAGAGGCACTGCCAAGACTCAGCAGGCAAACTGAGGCACATGCGCACCCCACTCTCTCCACCCAGAAGCAGCCTGTCCCATTTTGCCGCCTGAGGCAAAACAGGAAAGCGCTGCTCCCGTCGTCTCCACCCCCCATCCTGCCGAATCCTCGCTTACCGGGAAAGCATGTGATGGATAAATTAAAAAAGGAGTTCCTCTATGGAGGTATCCCTCCCAGAAACCCAATTGAAAAGGATGCAGGCTTCAAGTGAAAACAGAAGCCTTTATTGAAATACAAACAGGCAGAGGGACAGCCTCGAAAATAAGGAGGTGGCGGCGAAGAATCGCACCCAAAGCAATGTTTCTTACACCCTTGGTGATTTCATTTCACCAGTCAAAGGATTATAGCAATCTCGGCAGTTGCCACCAAATGTTACCATCCTGAACCAATCAAAATCATTTTAGTCTGCAGGATCAGCCCTTGTCATAACATCCTGAGATTAAAATCATTTTTCAATGTCTTTAATAAGACTTTGGCTCATTTTCCTGTTCATTAAATCAGTGTTTCCCAACCTTTTTTGGGCAAAGGCACACTTGTTTCATGAAAAAAATCTCGAGGCACACCACCATTAGAAAATGTTAAAAAATTTAACTCTGTGCCTATATTGACTATATAAAAAGTACAGTGGTGCCTCGTAAGACGAAATTAATTCGTTCCGCAAGTCTCTTCGTCTTACGAGTTTTTCGTCTTGCGATGCACGGTTTCCCATAGGAATGCATTGAAAATCAATTAATGCGTTCCTAGGGAAACCGCCTTCAGACCAGGTCCGGGGACAGTCTGTCCCCCGACCTCTTCTGAAGGCTGGGGGGGGGGACAAGGGCTTTTCTTCCCACTGCCAGCCTTCAGAAGGCTGTTCTGAAGGCTGGCGGTGGGAAGAAAAGCCCTTCTTCCCACCTCCCGCCCCGCAAGCTCCGGGGACAGGAGGGCTTTGCTGCCGACCGCCAGCATTTTAAAAGCCCCTGCTGTCCCGGGGCGATTTTAAAATGCTGGCGGGCGGGAGCGAAGTCTCCGCTGCCCCGAGGAGATTTTAAAATGCTGGGGGTCGGCAGCGAACGCTTCGCTCCCGCCCGCCAGCATTTTAAGATCACCCGGGGCAGCGGAGAAGTCTCCGCTGTCCCGGGAAGGCAGGCGGGGGGAGCAAAGACTTTTGCCCCCGCCTGCCTTCAGAAGAGGTCCAGGACCTCGTTCCGATGCCCGGCGGCGGGGTGCGAGGTTCCCGCCCCACCGCCTGCGCGGCGCATCGGGGCATCGTTCCGATGCCGGCGGCGGGGGGAGAGGTTCCCGCCCCACCGCCCGGCATCGGGGCATCGTTCCGATGCCCGGCGGCGGGGGGAGAGGTTCCCGCCCCACCGCCCGGCATCGGGGCATCGTTCCGATGCCCGGCGGCGGGGTGCGAGGTTCCCGCCCCACCGCCCCGCTTCGGAGCAGCGTTCCGAAGCGGGGCGGCTGGGGCAGGTGTTCCCGCCCCCCCGCCCCGCTTCGGAGCAGCGTTCCGAAGCGGGGCGGCTGGGGCAGGTGTTCCCGCCCCCCCGCCCCACTTCGGAGCAGCGTTCCGAAGCGGGGCGGCTGGGGCAGGTGTTCCCGCCCCCCGCCCCACTTCGGAGCAGCCGAAGCGGGGCGGCTGGGGTTTTGGGCCGCCGGAGAAGCGATCTCCCCGCAAACCTTGCTTCAAAAGAGGTCCGGGGCAGCGCGAAGCGCTTCCCGCTGTCCCCGGACCTCTTTTGAAGCAAGGGGCGGTGGGGAGAAGCGATCTCGGGCGCCGCGGCGCGCAGGCGCACTGCTCGCTCCTCTTTCCGCGCAGGCGCCTTCTCTCGCTCTTTCGCCTCCTTTTCTTTCTCTCTCGATGGTCCGCCTACAAAGGAGCGAGGGAGGCGCCCGCCATGTTTGGATTTGCATCCAGCAGGAGATGCCGCCGCCGCCCCGCCTCTCCCGCCTCCCTCCCACGGCACACCAGGCAAGGTCTCACGGCACAGTAGTGTGCCGCGGAACACCGGTTGGGAAACACTGCATTAAATGTCTCCCACTATCCTCTTTTGTCAGCAATTCAAGATTAATCACAACGACCATGCCTAGATGATTCCCTTCTCTTGCATACAACGGCCGCCATAGATTCTAAAAGTTTATGTTTTTTCCGTGTTCTGGGAGGGACATTTGCTACATACTGTGCCTGAAAACAACTAGTTCTGTACTGTAAAAAGTAAGCAGGCACAGGCCTTTTTAGTGTGAGCGGTAGAAAAGAAAATGGAATAACCAAAATGATACAGTTTATGAAATTATTGTTTTCTCCATCACTTGGCAGCTTCTGGCGACATCTCGTGAGATCTCACAGAACTCTCACAAGCTCTCGCCAGAAGCCGCAGCCATCGCTGTCACGTGACCCCAGTGGAAGCAGGGGCGGGCTGTGTGTCCGCGGGGTCAGTGCCCTATGGGATTCTGCCGCCCGAGGCATCTGCTTCACTCTGCCTCCTGGATGGGCCGGCCCTGCCTCCACCTCAGCTCGGCTGTTGCATTCTGGGCCTAAGCCCCTGGTAAGGGCTGGGTTCAAGTTGAAGTTCTGAGAAAGCTCCAGAAAGGAAAATGAGCTTTGGGTGCGACTTATTTATTTATTTATTTATTTTATCTATCTATCCATTCAATTTCTGTCCTGCTCTTCCTCCCAAAGCAGTGGTGGTAACGGTTTAACCTAAACCCAGGAAAAGGCAAGACTGAAAGACGAAGGTGCCTCTGGGCATATCCATAATAAAGGTAAAGGTAAAGGTACCCCTGCCCGTACGGGCCAGTCTTGACAGACTCTGGGGTTGTGCGCCCATCTCACTCAAGAGGCCAGGGGCCAGCGCTGTTCAGAGACACTTCCGGGTCACGTGGCCAGCGTGACATCGCTGCTCTGGCGAGCCAGAGCCACACACGGAAACGCCGTTTACCTTCCCGCTAGAAAGCGGTCCCTATTTATCTACTTGCACCCGGAGGTGCTTTCGAACTGCTAGGTTGGCAGGCGCTGGGACCAAGCAACGGGAGCGCACCCCGCCGCGGGGATTCAAACCGCCGACCTTTCGATCGGCAAGCCCTAGGTGCTGAGGCTTTTACCCACAGCGCCACCCGCGTCCCCTTTATATCCATAATACCCACATACATTTAGGAGCGACAGTTCAAGCTCAGGGCTTGTGCGTCTGCCAGAGAATGAGCCCCCAAACTTCTCTCCTGAAAAACAAAATCCCTCTCGAATGGAACTTCTACTCACTTATTGTTTCCTTGTATGTCGGGTTTCCCGCACTTTGGGAATAGGAGAAGCAGAGCTGCACCTTGATGCTGTTAGTTGAGGAGGTGGGAAGGGAAAGGAGAGAGAAAGAAAGAGAGAAATGTGATTGACCCGGAAGTCTTGGAGCAGGATGAGATGGGAGTAAACACAGATTCCTCCAGGCAGGGGTGTAGACTACATAACATGGGTCTTAAAAGACCTGCATAGGCTCCTAGTACGTTTCTGAGCACAATTCATAGTGTTGGTGCTGACCTTTAAAGCCCTAAACAGCCTCAGTCCAGTATATCTGAAGGAGCGTCTCCACCCCCATCGTTCTACCCAGACGCTGAGGTCCAGTGCCGAGGGCCTTCTGGCCGTTCCCTCACTGCGAGAAGCCATGTTACAGGGAACCAGGCAGAGGGCCTTCTTGGTAGTGGCAAACGCCCTGTGGAACGCCCTCCCATCAGATGTCAAGGAAATAAACAACTACCTGACTTTTAGAAGACATCTGAAGGCACCCCTGTTTAGGGAAGCTTTTAATGTTTGATGCATTACTGTATTTTAATATTTTGTTGGAAGCCGCCCAGAGTGGCTGGGGAAGCCCAGCCAGATGGGCGGGGTATAAATAATAAATTGTTGTTGTTGTTGTTGTTAGTGGTCTGGGATTGTGGAGGGTCAAAGACACACAACTATTTCTGCCTCAGGGTCCCTGATGAGTCCCTGTCTCCAGCGTTCAATCAGCAGCATGAAAGGGGACCGTTTTTTTAGCCATTCTAGCCTCCAAAGCTAAGCATTTAGGAGCACCGAAAACACAAGATGCTTTTGTTTCAAAAGAGCGATGTGCATGTTCTGTTACGTACGATGCAGTTTCATGGGACACAAACACAACTGAAGTTGCTGTGAAAGCAGATCCTGGAGCGCTCCAAATCATTTTTCCATGTACGTGTGCAGAAAGTAGCACATCCAGGGCTGGATTTAGGCCTGATGAGGCCCTAAGCTACTGAAGGTTAATGGGGCCCTTTATATGTCCAGCTGTCCTTTGTCAACAACACATTGTCACTGGTTTTTGTGTGTGTGTTGAATACAGTGGTACCTCGAGTTACAAACGCCTCAGGTTAAAAACGCTTCAGCTTACAAACTCCGCTAACCTGGAAGAGTTACCTCGAGTTGAGAACTTTGCCCCAGGATGAGAACGGAAATCATGTGCCAGAGGCGCAGTGGCAGCACGAGGCCCCATAAGCGAAAGCATGCCTCTCATTAAGAACAGTATCAGGTTAAGAACGGACCTCCGGAACGAATTAAGTTCGTAACTAGAGGTACCACTGTATATGCTTTATAGTAATTTATGGACCTAATAGGTATCTCGAGCCATTTGTACATGTTGCTAGGCAACCAGACCATGCAGAATGTAGGCACCCTATATATAGAAAGGAGCAAACCAGTGATATTTTAGGGAGCAGGCTAGCAGGCGCGGCCCATGACTATACAACACAAAACACTGTTGCTGTATGAAGGTTTTATTTTACTTGTTTTTTTATCTTATATTTTGGAAATGTACATCCAGTGCTTTTTTCCTTCAATTTTTTTGGGCCCCCAAGAGAATGGGGCCCTCAGCTATAGCTGGTTCAGCTTATACGTAAATCCGGCACTGAGCACATCTGTCTGAAAGGCAGCACATGGAGATTTGCAATTATTGTGGCACTGTATTGCAAATTATTATTGTTGCTGTATAACCATAAGATTATCGCATTATTTTAGAAGGGGCGCGGTTGTGACTCTCAGGAAGGAACCCTCACTTCTCAGTTTGCTAACTGCCTCCAGGCAAACCGAAACAGAGCAGTGATCACTTTTTAAAGGGAGGCACAAACCTATTCTGAAGCCACATCAACCAGCTTTGGAAGGCTCTACTAAAACGCCCAGTGTACAATGGCAGCCTAAAGATGTTTTGTATTGAAATGCACTCCTCGGATGCTCTTGTTATAGGGCTGTGATGAATTTTCATGAGCGGCAAGTGACATTTCGGGGGCATGGAGTTTTCTTTGAAAAAGCAGCAGTTCTCCCCTGCAGGAGAGGGAACTCCATTATTATTATTACTATTATTATTATTATTATTATTATTATTATTATTATTATTCCACATTTCATGCCCTCTCTCCTTCATTACATATCTTTAGGTGCCAGGCAAAAACATTTCTCTATAACCAGGCCTTTGAACAAGTTATGTTCAGGGAAGTTTTTCATGTCTGATGTTTTATTGCTTTATCATCATCATCATTAATTCTGTTGGGAGCTTCCCAGAGTGGCAGGGGAAACCCAGCCAGGTGGGCAGGGTATAAATTATTATTATTATTATTATTATTGCTTTAATGTGTTTGTGGCACAGAGGGTGTTATTGGTTTGTTTTTGCTTTATTATGTATTTTGTGTTTTCATTCTGTATTTTTATGTTGTCAGCTGTGATCTTTGGATGAAGGGTGGTATACAAATTATTATTATTATTATTATTATTATTATTATTATTATTATTATTAATTATTGAAATCATCCAACGGAGGCGACTCTGCCACATCTCTATAAAGCTTGCTCCAGTGCGCTATACTGCTCTTAACGACAGATGTTTTCTTCATTCACATTTAATCTGAATCCCGCCCTTTCTTGTGTAAACACTCCTACTTCTTGTCCCGCACTCGGCGGGGAGGGCAAACAATTGTTCTCCTTATTCTTTCCGACATCCCCTTAAACAAGCTGAAAATTGGCAACGTGCTCCCCTTTCATCTTCCTTTCCTTCGGCTAAATATAACCAGTTCCATCGCATTTCTGCCGTCACACGCCTTTCAAAGAGCCCTGGCACCCGGGCAGGCGGGTGAGGAGAGAGAACTGTGAGGAGAGAACATAGAAGGAAGCTTTTACCAAGAGTCTTCGGTACAGCTGTTTGGGTCCAATGTGGTCGGGATAACCGTGAACGACTTGTCTAAGATGTTGATCACCGGACGGGCTCTGCAGAGAGATATGAGACAAAAGGGAAATGAGTGGGGTACTCTCTAAGGACATTATTATTATTATTAATTGAATTCATGTACCGCCCTATAGGGACGCGGGTGGCACTGTGGGTTAAACCACAGAGCCTAGGGCTTGCCGATCAGAAGGTCGGCGGTTCGAATCCCTGCGACTGGGTGAGCTCCCGTTGCTCGGTCCCTGCTCCTGCCAACCTAGCAGTTCGAAAGCACACCAGCACAAGTAGGTAAATAGGTACCAATCTGGTGGGAAGGTAAACGGTGTTTCCGTGCACTGCTCTGGTTTGCCAGAAGCGGCTTAGTCATGCTGGCCACATGACCCGGAAGCTGTATGCCGGCTCCCTCAGCCAATAAAGCGAGATGAGCACCGCAACCCCAGAGTCGGTCATATCTGCACCTAATGGTCAGGGGTCCTTTTATCTTTACCTTTACCGCCCTATACCCAGAGGTCTCAGGGTGGTTCACAGAATAAAATCAATATATAAAACCACAAAATACATAACAAAGATTAAAACAACAACTCAATAGCTCCCCCCCTCAACAAAACACATCTTAAAAGGGCATAGGATGTAAATCAGATCAAGCAAAAGCCTGGTTAAAAAGGAATGTTTTTGCCTGGCGCCTAAAGGTGTGCAATGAAGGTGCCAGGTGAACTTCCCTGGGGAGAGCATTCCACAGATGGGGAGCCACTGCAGAGAAGGCCCTTTTTTCATGTTGCTGCCCTCTGGAACTCTCGAGGAGGAGGCACATGAAGAAGATGATCTCAGGGTCCAGGTAGGTTCATATGGATAGAGGCGGAGTCCAATTTACATGGAATTTGGTTTTTCTGAACTAATTGAGCTTTGGTTGCACTGGACTGCCATTTGCATCAAGCACCTGCTTACAGAATCGTAGGACTGTAGTGTTGGAAGGGACCCCGAGGGTCATCAAGTCCAACCCCCTTGAAATTCAGGAATCTCAGCTAAAGCATCCATGACAGATGGCCACCTGACCTCTGCTTAAAGGCTTCCAAGGAAGGCGAGTCTGCATTCCACTGTCAAACAGCTCCTACCGTCAGAAAGTTTTTCTTGATGTTTCGTCAAAATCTCCTTTCTTGTAACTTGAAGCTTGCACATCGGCAAGTGTTTTTAAAAACAGACTGATTAACTATATGCAAAAATTATAAACGTATATAGTATATATAACAAAAATCCAGTCCCATGCAGTACTATATACCTTTGGCAAAATGGTATGTAGCAAAACATAAGTATTTTTAATACAGTTATTTTATTTTATTTTTTGTCTGGCTTCTAAGTGGTTATAGCACATAGCTGTTTATATGCTGGTTACTTTAGGAAACCTAGAATGTATCCGTGCATAATATTGTACATAAGGTAAAAAGGTAAAGGCAAAGGACCCCTGGACGGTTAAGTCCAGTCAAAGGCGACTATGGGGTTGCAGCGCTCATCTTGCTTTCAGGCCAAGGGAGCCAGTGTTTGTCCACAGACAGCTTTCTGGGTCACATGGCCAGCAGGACTAAACCACTTCTGGTGCACGGAAACACTGTTTACCTTCCTGCTGCAGAGGTACCCATTTATCTACTTGCACTGGTGTGCTTTCGAACTGCTAGGTTGGCAGAAGCTGGGACCGAGCAACGGGAGCTCACCCCGTCACAGGAATTCGAACTGCTGACTTTCCAATCAGCAAGCCCAAGAGGCTCAGTGGTTTAGACCACAGTGCCACCCGCATCCCTATATTACATACAATCGTGTGTGCAATAATGCATATAAAATGCAATGACTATTTTAGTGGAAATAGTAAAAAAGAAGCTCATTGAGTGTTGGTGCTGACCTTTAAAGCCCTAAACCTTTAAAGCCCCATCATTCTACCCGGACACTGAGGTCCAGTGCCGAAGGCCTCCACTCTGCAACACTTACAATAAGTCTTCCACCTTGATGTGTTAGCGCAAAGGACACTGAGGTCCAGCTCCAAGGGCCTTCTGGCAGTTCCCTCCCTGCGAGAAGTGAGGTTACAGGGAACCAGTCAGAGGGCCTTATTGGTAGTGATGCCCGCCCTGTGGAATGCCCTCCCACCAGATAACAAACACAACAACTACTAGACTTCTAGAAGATGTCTGAAGGCAGCCCTGTTTAGGGAAGCTTTTAATGTTTGATGCATTACTGTATTTTAATATTTTGTTGGACGCTGCCTGGAGTGGCTGGGGAGGCCTGGCCAGATGGGCGGGGTATAAATTATTATTATTATTATTATTATTATTATTATTATTATTAAGGAGCAATATGCATGCCATTCTGACTTCCTCACAGAATGAAGGTGGATATTAATACACAATAATAATAAAAACCCAAATAGTCCCAAACATCAGCAGTGGCTTTGGACAAGTCAGCCATGAGGGGAAAGAATTCTGCAGACCCTCAGGAGTACATTAACTGTCCCTCTTTAAGTCTCCTCTCACCTGAGCAGCAGGATATTTTCTGAGAGCGTGCCCACCAGGAGATCGGGGTAGGAGTTCCCATCCACATCCATTCCACCACTGAAGGAGTAGCCAAAGGTCTTGATTCCAGGTCCGACATCTTCACCGCTGATAACCTGCAGAGGAGGAGCAAATGAGGGAGGAGGAAGGGCAGCCATCAGAAGGAGAAAGCTCTATGTTGTGAGCTGTACCTCAAGGTTGATGGTGCCTTGGCCAAGCATGTTGGGTTGGTGTGAGAGATGGAGCAGGACTGCCACTGATGTCACCAGGCTATACCTTGCTTTCGAATGCAGATTGCCTGCAACCGGTGTTCTTCATCCACACCCTGTTGGACTACAACTCCCAAGAACCCCGCCAGCGTAGTCAAGGATGATGGGAGTTGTACTCCAACAGCATCTGGGGACCCAGGATTGAACAACAGTGGTCTACACCAACAGAATTTTAGAGGGGTTTTTTGTTTAAAGACAGGTTGTGTTTTTGTATAGTCTGTTGGAAGCCATCCAGAGTGGCTGGGGCAACACAGTCAGATGTGTGGGGTACAATACAATATTTATTACAGTGGTACCTCGGGTTAAGTACTTAATTCGTTCTGGAGGTCTGTTCTTAACCTGAAACTGTTCTTAACCTGAAGCACCCCTTTAGCTAATGGGGCCTCCTGCTAATGGAGCACGATTTCTGTTCTCATCCTGAAGCAAAGTTCTGAACCCGAGGTACTATTTCTGGGTTAGCGGAGTCTGTAACCTGAAGCGCATGTAACCTAAAGTTTATGTAACCCAAGGTACCACTGTATATTGTTCTTATTTTCCAGGTCTATCTGGAGATGCCGGGAATTGAACTCACCGCCTTCTGCATGCAAAACATGTCCTCTTCCGCTGAGCTATGACCCTTCTGTAGCTGGGGATGGTGCAGATCCATAATGGGCACTTAACCTAGAAGTGCAGCCCCACCCCCAGCGGATCCATGTTGTGGAGCCAAGCTCTGCTGAAACCCAGTCCCTGACTTCCTAGTGCCTCCAGGCTTGCTGCATTAGTTGCAAAATGCGAGGAAGGCATTGCATGCGATCAGAGGCAGTTTTCTGACCAAGCATGGAGGGGGAAAATGATGAAGAGGAACAAGCAAGGTGAGCTTACCTGCTGGGGCTTATCAATAAGCCCTCCTGCACCACTGTGGTAGATGTAGACCTTCCCCGAACCTTCAAAAGGAGCTCCAACTGCGATATCTATGGAGGAAAGGAGGGAGGATAAGGGTCAGGTGGACTCGTTTGCTGGCTTTCCAAAGGAGGCATCTAAAACAAACCTATAGTCCAGGTATAGGCAAACTCAGCCCTCCAGATGTTTTTGAGACTACAATTCCCATCATCCCTGACCACTGGTCCTGTTAGCTAGGGATGATGGGAGTTGTAGGCCCAAAACATCTGGAGGGCCGAGTTTGCCTATGCCTGCTATAGTCACTCTTCAAAACAAATCTCACTAAAATCTCCCATTGCCAGCAACAGCCTCCAAACTGCAGAACTTTGTTCTCCTTAAGTCAAAACAACAACAACCAAACACCACTTCATGAACTCTTTCTGGAGGTAGAAAATGAGAACGGCAGAGAGAGGGCTAAGCGAAACATTTTCTCTATGATTACAGTTCTCCATGTCCATGATTCCCTTCTAATTGCAGTGGTACCTTGGTTCCCCAATGGCTTAGTCACCGAACAAATGGGCTCCCGAATGCCGCAGACCCAGAAATAAGTGTTCCAGTTTGCCAATGTTTTCCAGAAGCTGGACGTCTGATACTGCTTCTGCTTGAGTGCAGGTAGCTCCTGCAGCCAATCAGAAGCCGCGCCTTGGTTTCCAAACTGTTTTGGGAGTCGAATGGACTCCTGGAATGGATTAAGTTTGAGAACCAAGGTAAAAAGTAAAGGTAAAGGGACCCCTGACCATTAGATCCAGTCGTGGCTGACTCTAGGGTTGCGGTGCTCATCTCGCTTTATTGGCCGAGGGAGCCGGCGTACAGCTTCCGGGTCATGTGGCCAGTATGACTAAGCCGCTTCTGGCAAACCAGAGCAGCGCACAGAAACGCCATTTACCTTCCCGCCGGAGCGGTACCTATTTATCTACTTGCACTTTGACGTGCTTTCGAACTGCTAGGTTGGCAGGAGCAGGGAAAGAGCAACGGGAGCTCACCCCGTTGCAGGGATTCGAACCGCCGACCTTCTGATCAGCAAGTCCTAGGCTCTGTGGTTTAACCCACAGCACCACCGTACCACTGTATAAATACATTTTATTTGCATTTTCCCCCAAAATGCACATTGTTACAAAGCAATGTCCCCTAACAGAATGCATTTCCAGTAATGTATGTATGGGGGCAACAGTCGAAGGAGGAAGACCCCCCACCTTGGAAATCATCCTTATCGACGTCTCCGATGTTGGCCACGGCCAGGCCAAAGGCAGAGCTGCTGGGCCCTGTGAGGGTGATGTTGGGGCTGCTGTGGAACGTCCCCCCCAGGTTCATGTAGACGTAGACGGCCCCACCCTTCTCCTCTTTCCGGTCAAAGTAGTAGGGTGCTCCGACAATCAAATCCTGCCACCTACAGATAGGAAGAGAGAGAGAGAGAGAGGTGTGATCACAGCCCCTCTGCTGGGCAAATGAGACATTGCTTCCCATTGGCTTTGCTGGCCAGCAGACTCACCCGTCATTGTTGAGGTCAGCCAGAGCAATGGAACTGCCAAAATAGGAGCCCACTTGATCCCCGAAGATAATGAGTTTCCCCTGAAGAGTCGTGCCGCTGTCCGCTGCCATCAGGAAGACGGCTCCCGTGTGGTTAAACCGAGGGGCCCCACTGACTAAGGTGGTCTCGTTTCTGCGCAGAACCTCAGTTCTTGCTTCGACTGTGTAGCCTATAGATACGGGGGGAAGTGCATGAGTTCCTTCTTATCCTGATCACCCCCTTTCCAAAAGCATAATTCTCACTCACTGTCTTCCAGTCCTATGCCTTGGAAGTCAAATAGAATCTATTCCGGAAGTCCAGTTGACTTCCAAAACGTTCAGAAACCAAAGCACGGCTTCTGATTGGCTGCAGGAAACTCCTGCGTTAAGAAATCTTAGCTAGGTTGGTGTGTGTGTGTGATCCTATCACCATGTTTGTATGCGAGTGAGGAAAGAAGGGAGATGTAGGCACAGAAACAGGGCAGCGGACCAGGAAAAACCATATCGGTCCGCTCCTTTATATTCTCTACACGTACGATTGTGTCGCTGCTCACCCTAGTAATAGGGTTGTCAAATTTGCAGATGACACAACCGTGATTGGGCTCATCTCTGAAAGGGAGGGTGAAACGGACTATAGAGATGAGGTGGAGCGGCTGACAGAGTGGTGCAGAGCTAACAACTTGCTCATAAATACAAGGAAGACAAAGGAGCTTGTGGTGGACTTCAGGAGACAGAAGAGCAATGTCCAGCCACTTTTGATTGATGGGGTCTGTGTGGAGAGGGTAACAACGTTCAGATTTTTGGGCATTGAATTACAAGAGGATCTGTCCTGGAGTGTCAACACAAGGGGGCTTGTGAAGAAGGCGCAGCAGAGACTTCACAAGAATTTTGAGAATTCTAAGGAAATTCTTTTCCTTAGAATTTTGAGAATTCTAAGGAAAAACCATCTTCCGCAGAAACTGCTGCTTGCCTTCTATCACTGTGCCATTGAGAGCGTGCTCACTTATGGCTTGTGTGTGTGGTACGGAAGCTGTACTACCCAGGACAGGATGGGGTTGTGCAGAGTTGTTAAGGCAGCAGAGAGCATTGTTGGCTGCCCACTCTCCACCTTAGAGCAGATTTATGCCACAAGGTGCCATAGGAAGGCACTGGACATAGTAAAAGATCCATCGCATCCTGGTCACTGTCTCTTCGAGCTCCTGCTGTCGGGACGGAGATACAGGACGTTGAAGACAAGAACGAGCCGTCTTAAGAACAGCTTCTTCTCCAGAGCGATCTCGGCCCTGAATGGGAAGCCTGGACTTTGAAAGTCATCTAATCTTCCTTGCTGTATTATACTGTATTGTTTTAATTAGTGTTTTTATAGTTGTTTTGATTTTGTGTGGAGTGCCCTACCTGGGTGGATGGAGCAGCCAAGTAATTTCGTTGTCCCCGAGAGGGGGCAATGACAATAAAGATATTATTATTATTATTATTATTATTATTATTATTATTATTATTACCCAAATAGCTGTAGCTGTACTTCTGATCTGGATACGAGTAATCTTGCTGGTCCCATTCCCGGTCCCCTCGAAGGATCATGTAATCGGTTCCTGTGCCAGAAAGAGGAAAGTTGTGACATTTTAACTCAACACAGACAAAGAGACCCACCGCTTCCTTCCGTCCGGTGTCTATCAAGCCACTTGCTTTTCCAGAGAGAGAGGTCCTGGGTTTGAATCCTGCCTGGATGCTATTCCCTGTATTTCAGAACCCAGACGTGTGTGTGGAGGTTCAGGGGCTCTAAGCACAGAAGAAAAGAAGAACACATGTCTTTCCCTCAACTGGGCTCTGCTCAGCTGCTTTTATTTCATCATTTAGTTTACCAGGTAAGGTTGCATTCCTGACCGCGTCCACCCAGAAGTAAATCCCACTGAATTTAATGGGGCTTATTTAACACCGGTCATTGACCACAAGGAAGAGATGCAATTGGATGGGGCTTATTTAGGGATGGGCGATTCTGTCCGTTTCAGTTTGTCTGCTTCTCTTTAAAATACAGTGGTACCTCGCAAGACGAAAGGGTTTTTGGTTTTTTGAGTTGCTTCACAAGACGATTTTCCCTATGGGCTTGCTTCGCAAGACGGAAACGTCTTGCAAGTTTGTTTCCTTTTTCTTAAAACCGTTAATACAGTTGCAACTTGACTTCGAGGAGCAACTCATAGCACGCGGTGTAGTAGCCTTTTTTGAGGTTTTTGAAGACTTTGGTGATTTTTGAAGCTTTTCCAAAACTTTTCCGAAACCGTGCTTCACAAGACGAAAAAAATCGCAAGACAAAAAAACTCGCGCAACGAATTAATTTTGTCTTGCGAGGCACCACTGTAATAAATAAATAAATCTCTAGTTCAGAGTTTCCCTAACCTGGGCCTCCAGCCGTTTTTTGGACTACAACACCCATCGTCCCTAGCTAGCAGGACCAGTGGTCAGGGATGATGGGAACTGTAGTCCAAAAAACAGTCTAGTTCAGTGTTCCCCACCCATACGGACCCCTGGCCCCCCCCCAGGATATTCCAAGGGGGCCACAGGTGCAAAATGTGTAAATGGGGTGAAGTGAGTGTTCCGGTTTTCGAACGTTCTTTTGGAAGCCGAACGTTTGACGGGGCTTCCGATTGGCTGCAGGGGCTTCCAGCAGCCAATCAGAAGCTGCGCTTTGGAAGTCGAACGTTTCGGAAGTCGAACGGATTCTGTGAACGAATTCTGTGAATTAATGTGCTTTTGGCAATTTCCCACCTGGTTGGTTTCGTCTCTGGCTGCATTAACCCATTAAGCCACATATTTACATGGCGACACAGGAAGGAGGGGCTGAGGAAGTGTCACAAACCTTGCCAGTTGAAAGCACCAGGGGCTCCGAAATAAATGCTGTTGGCGGTGAAGCCGCCGCTGATGCCCATCTGACACATGCCCGTTACGTCCGAGTCGCTGTTGGTGTTGCACATCTCGTTGTGGAAATGCTGCCATTCATCCTGCTCCTGAAGTTGTAGGTTGTTTCCGTGGACATAGCATTTCCCAACCATGCGCCTCTGGTCCTCGTTGCCAGCCCACAAGACTCGGGTGTACCGGTGGGCACAAGCCTAGCAAAGTCAAACAGACAAGGCTTTAGTTTGCAGTGAAACAAGGTGGGGTGGGGGTGGGGTGAGGCTCCGGCCTTTCCTTGAAGGCACGCTTTCTGTTAGAATTCCTGCTCCATGATTGCAGTCATGGGATTGTTGTCATTCATGACGGTATATGGTTGTTGTTGTTTTTTAAAAAAATATTTATTAAAGTTTCAAACAAAATTACAATAATAAATAAAGAAAAAATAAAGAAAGAAAAAATAAAATCCAAAAAACAGAAAAAATAGAATAACAACTAAAAACAAATCAGTCTTTCCATATCTTGTCTTTCGTTCACTTGTTTCCCTGACCTCCTCACACCTCCCTTTTTTGCATCCCAGTTCAGTTAATTAATTCAGCAAATCCTTTCCCTTTTTGTTCTTATCTTAATCCTTTATCTTAGTATATTATTACTTCAAATTCCCATCTATTAACAATCCATTTTTACATAGACCTCAATAACATTGCTGCTAAAACCACTTAACTTCATTCCAACATAATTCTAACATTCATTAATTTTGCAATATTTCTGTAAATAGTCTTTAAATTTCTTCCAATCTTCTTCCACCGACTCTTCTCCCTGGTCTCGGATTCTGCCGGTCATCTCCGCCAGTTCCATATAGTCCATCACCTTCATCTCATGACGGTATATGTTTTAACTCCACAGAGTGGGAAGTGACGAAGACAGGATGTTTGTGTTACTGTGTTCCATGAAGTGGGACTATTGTCCTTTGTTCTTTTTTCTCTTTGCTACCTGATGCTAGAGAGAGAGGGAGCCATGTTGCAGTGATCCGTGTGTGTTTATATGTAAATAAAGTAGATTAGCCAAAATGCTGAGTTGCTGAGTTTTGTTAAGCAAGTTGCGCAAAATCTGCGGATCCCTAAGTGTGCTGGTGTCGGTTGGCATTGGTCGCTGTGATGTTTGGGCTGAAGAAAGCTCTTGGAGCTCCTGAACGATTGACCAGGAGCGAGAGAACATGCCAGTCGGGCATGTGTCTCTGCCAGGATCCTACTTGAGTGTAGGCTGAACTCAGGACACTTTCTGCCTTTCTAAGTCCATTCCATAGCCTTCAATATTCTCTTGACAGCAATTGGGATGTGTTTCTGTCGGTGCTGTGTGAGTCAGCTGGCTCACGCAAGATCACGGCACTGCTGCAAGCTCTAGCTCACCCCCAGGACATTCTGGGATCAAATTCAGAAGCCCAGATGGCTCCTATAATTCTGGAAATGCCCCAGGAAAATAGGGACGGTTGGAGGGTATGCCATACCCATGATTCCAGGTACTTTGGAGATATGTATGCATGGTCCGTGCATACTCAGCTTTAGCACTGAAAACCTTTCCATAGCCTAAGGTTCCCAAACATTTTTGGGTCACCTTTCCCTTAGTTCCCTAAATTTATTCCCAGTGGCCCCTACCCTATAAAGAGTATCATTCAGAACAGCGGTTTGCACGACTCACTAAAGAAGATAACGACACAACGAAATTCAAAGCTGGAGCATTTACCGTATATTTTCGTCTATAAGATGCCGCCATGTATAAGATGCCCCCTATTTTGGGAAACTCAGATTTAAGAAAATGGGGGGGGGAGACACTATCCGTGTATAAGACGCCCCCTAAATTTTGACATTATTTTTTAGGGGGAGGGGACCTAGTCTTATACATGGGAAAATATGGCAATTGCACATTTATTCAGAGTTCAATTGAAACTATTTAGTTGTCAGGGGCTGGACTGAGGAGGAATGGTGGGAACTCCCCGCCCCCCCTTCCTGCAACTTCCTGAGAAGAGGAGGACAGTATAGATTTAGAACAGCGGTTTGCCGAAGGGCATAGTTCAGAGGCTGCAGAGGGGAGGAGCTTGGAAATATTGGAAGAGGAACAGCAGGAAGAAAAAGCACCAGGGGAGAGACAGCCGACAGACTCAGTGTCCTTGGAGAATATTCCTGACCCCCCTTCTCCCAGGACCAGCAGGGCATTGGGGGTAGTAGAAGAGAAAGCTCAGAGGCAGAAAACACAGATCAACCAACAGAAGGGTGATGTAGATTAGGTGAGATGGAGGGGGTGGGACTTTACTTGGAGCAACAGCATTATCTAAGAGAGACTGCATTCCTTTGTCTCGCTCTGTGACTATTGAATAAACCACTTGGTAAGAGCTCCTGTTGTTGTTGTTGTTGTTTGCTTCTTGGCATCCCATTGTGGGAAGGGATAGGATTCTCTGAAGCCTTGAGATTAGTTTAATTAATCCAACAAATTTATGAACCTGATTCAGTGGTACCAGCTTTCCAAAGTCTGATAGTCATTTAAATGTTTTAATGTTGTATTTTAATCTTGTTTTTAAGTTGTATTCATTCAACTTGTTTTTATTATTGGTTGTTAGCCGCCTTGGCTGGGGAGGGCGGGGTATAAATATTTTTATTTATAAATTTTATTTATGAAATTATTATTATTATTATTATTATTATTATTATTATTATTATTCGCAGCTCCAGAGCCCACTACCTTCCAAGTGAATCTGATCATCGAACGGCTCTGGCCATCACATCCAACTCCCATCCTGAGCTGGCTGTGATTATTCAGTAGCAAGGGATAGGCACTCTGCGCATGCTTACAGGTTCTCTCTTCTCTCATTGTATGCTACCAGGCTGACCACCGGTATTGCAAACAGGCTAATTCTGACTGAACCCTGTGCTCAAATTAAGCTCTTCGCTGGATGCTTTCTAATTCCACGATGTTGTCAAGAGCGCTCTGTACATGCTCAGAGAAACTCAGAGTATTCTGGGACTTGTGATTGACAAGGAAAACAAATTCCTGGCCGAACCCAGGATAAAATTAGCTGCAAGGGACCACAATGGAGACAGTGGATGACAAAACTAATAATGTATCCAATAAGCCAGGGAAAGGAATGGAATAGAGGCAGCAAGCTTCTCAAGAAACTTAAACCCACCCGAAAAGGAATTACCGCTGGCATTTTCTTATAAAGCAAAAAAGAACTGGCACCTGCATTCTGATCTCCAAGGTGCCTGGCCGTCTGGCTGCCACTGCCCAAAGCTATTTCTTGAATTTCAGCAAATGCCAGTGGAGATTGGTGGGGGTTTTTATGTTTGTTTTTAAACCATTTAAAGGCGCTGATGAAGCAGAGGATCAAAATAGCTACTGGGAAAGATTCAAGGATGCGAAGGGCTTTGGGGCAGAAGTCGGGAGGATGTTATCTAAGATGTACCAGGAAACGGAGGGCCAGTTAGTAGCAGGTTCCTGAAGATCTTATGGATGTGCATAGAGGCAGCTTTATCCTGCTTGCAATATTTGGGAAGGAGCAGGAAAGGAAAGTGGGGTTCTTAGTGGTTCCCAAACTCTCCCACTCAGACCACTTGGAAATTACAGAGGGTCTTGGTGGTCCACTTATTGATTTTCCCACCTCTTGTGGAATTTGTAATGCACTTAGTTGCTGTATTATTTTTAGTTGTATTATGAATGCATCTTTTATTTCATGTATATTGTGCAGCATTGTATATATGTTGTATACCGCAATACAACGAAATACAATACAATATTTATTACACTGGTACCTCGGGTTAAGTACTTAATTCATTCTGGAGGTCCGTTCTTAACTTGAAATTGTTCTTAACCTGAAGCACCACTTTAGCTAATGGGGCCTCCTGCTGCTGCTGCGCCACCGGAGCACGATTTCTGTTCTCATCCTGAAGCAAAGTTCTTAACCCGAGGTACTATTTCTGGGTTAGCGGAGTCTGTAACTTGAAGCATACGTAACCTGAAGCGTACATAACCAGAGGTACCACTGTATTATTATTATTATTATTATTATTATTATTATTATTATTATATCTTTATGGGATTGTCTAAATGAATATTTACACAAGCAGGGCTCCAATATGAAAGTTTGGTTGTTCTTAGACTAACCTTGTGAAGAATATAAAGAATACAAAGAATTGATGGACTATGAAAGAACTTAAGGAAAGGAAGTGACTGAAGAACAGATGTAAAGGTGAACTAGAAATTAAGAGACGTGTGGTAAATGCGGTGGAAGTCTTTTATAATATTTTAACTAGGATTTTTAAAATGTAATGTTTAAAGTATAAATTTGGTACTATTGATTATGGAAAGTATGTTTTTTTTCTTTCTTTTTTCCTCTTTCTTTTTTCTTCTTCTTTAGCCTGCATTTGGTAAATATGTAGACGATTGTGTTTATATTGTTATGCATGGAATTGGTTTTGATTTTTCTGTTTTATTTACCTTGTAATATTTAATAAAACTAATAATAAAAATTAAAATTAAAAAAAGAAAAGAAATACAGTGGTACCTCGGGTTAAGTACTTAATTCGTTCCGAAGGTCCGTTCTTAACCTGAAACTGTTCTTAACTTAAAGCACCACTTTAGCTAATGGGGCCTCCTGCTGCTGCTGCACAGCCGGAGCACGATTTCTGTTCTCATCCTGAAGCAAAGTTCTTAACCCGAGGTACTATTTCTGGGTTAGTAGAGTGTGTAACCTGGAGCGTATGTAACCTGAAGCGTATGTAACCAGAGGTACCACTGTACAAGACAATTTTTTTTAAAATGCAATTTAAAATCAATGCGAAGAATATTTCATGTAGTTGATGTGCCATCTCCCGTCCTCAGCCACGAATGTGCAGACCTGCCATGGCCCTCTGTCATGGATGTTATAGCCTATGGTTCTATCATAGGAGCCAACTCTGAAAACAGTGTTACCATTTTGAATCCACCCTTAGAGCTATAATGCCCATGAGAACCAATGCAATGGAGCAAATATGGGAGAAAAATGAATGCCAATAGGGGTCATCCTTCATTTTAACAGGGGAGAGGAAAGGAACTGGATTTGGCGGGCCATTTTGGGGTGACAGCCTCATGCCAAGTGTAACATGTAGTTTTGCCAAAAGCTTCTGACCCACCTTGGACTGGGCATGCCATCCTAACAGCATTTTAACAGATGGATGGTATTTTGCACATCACCTAGGAAGCATACTGGAAGAAGGAAAGGTCACCAGTGTCAAACTTCAACTTCTTTGGACTGGTCGTGTTGTGGGGATACCTGATTATCGTCTTCCAAAGCAACTGCTCTATTCCGAACTCAAAAATGGTAAGCATAATGCGGGAGGTCAACAAAAGAGGTTTAAAGACTCTTTCAAGGCAACTCTTAAAAATGTAGTATAAAGACTGACAACTGAGAAACACTGGCCTGCGAGCGCTATAGTTGGAGAACAGCCTTTACCAAAGGTGTCATGGGCTTTGAAGATGCTTGAACTCAGGAAAAAGGGAGAAACGCGCTAAGAGGAAGGCACATTTGGCAAACCCTCACCGTGATCAACTCCTGCCTGGAAACCTATGTCCCCACTGTGGAAGGACGTGTGGATCCAGAATTGGCCTCCACAGTCACTTACGGACTCACTGTTAAAACCGTGTTCATGGAAGACAATCTTACTTGTCTACGAGCGATCACCAAAGAAGAAGCAGCTCCACAACATCCAGGCAGCACCGGGTTCCCCATCCCTGCCATGGAAATGCTCCCTGCCCCATAAATACAAACTACTCACCATCACTCTCCCAGAAGACTCTCTCTGGCTTGCTATCGTCACCCCCAACCACATGTCTTCGACAATATTTACTGTGGGGGTCGCCTGTGGGGAGAACAGAGGGGCAAAAAAAGGGAGAAATGCAGTTAGGACACAATCCACCTTCCCACCATGTTCCAAACACCCCTGCCATGCAATCCGATGCATGCCTACTCAGAAGTAAGTCCCGTTGAGTGGAATAGGACTTCCTCCCCCATAAATGTGCAAAGGATTATTGCCAGGTCCTTTAAGGCACAGGTGGGGAATCTGTGGCCACCCAGATTCCAACCTCCCTAGCCAGCATGGAAACTGTGGTCCAACATCTGAAGGGCTACAAGTTCTTCAAACCTAGGCTTCACGCAAAAAAGGGATGCAGTTTTCATAGCTGCAGAAAGACAGATACTATTGTATAGTTTAATTATGGATTAATTTAATAGTTATAAACTGCTTGGAAGTTGTTCTGAAATATAAGCAGTATATAAGAGGAGAGAAGGAAGGAAGGAAGGAAGGAAGATAAAAATCACAACTTCAAGCAAGTTTTATCTGGAAACCTAACAGGAACCAACAGAGGAATAATCAGGGCTTGCTGTTTATCACTTCATTTGCAATAATAATAATCAGGGTTTTTTTCTGGGGGGGATGCAGGGGTACTCATACCCCTAAACATTTTGTGAATCTAAGTTTGGCCTCACTGAAGGGAAGTATTTCAATATGAGTAGGAAAATGAGAATACCCCTAAACATTTTTTCCCAGAAAATAATAAATAATAATAATAATAATAATAATAATAATAATAATAATAATAATAAAATGTTCTGCTGTTTGCTTTGCATTTGCCCTCACAACTTCCCTGCGAGGTACCTGAAATGCTTGCTATATAAATGGGGAACAGAAGCCTTTCCTATGTGGAAAGACTGTAGCTGAAAAATATATCCAACATCATCATCATGATCTTCTTCTTCATCATCATTTTATTAGATTTATTACTCATATTTCACCCGAAAGTCTCAGTGTAGGTTACAATGCCACCAGTAAGGCAGCTTAAAACCAAATAAAAACAACAGTAAATACAAAAAACAATACATTAATTAACCATTTCCACAAAAGGAAATCATTTCACCAAAAATAGTTTTCAGCTGTCAAAGGCCGGGGTGAAGAGATAAAAGTTGGATAATGATGATGTCAGGTGCCCTTCTACAGGGAGTGAGCTCCCCTGTTCGGGGGCTGCCACAGAGAAAGCCCTCTTCTGCACTTTACATTCTGAGAGTTGCATCTCTCCAAACAATATCTAATATGATACAGATTGGCTTCAATTTACCCTTTTTGCCTACTACACCAGCCAGATCCACCCATTCTGTATAGCCAATCTGCAATGTCCATCTTGGAACTGAGTCTACAAGCTGATCTCACGGCTACAACATCCGGTCTAATTTCTGTACTTTTCTCTGTCCTCTTTTTAAAAAAACTTTCCCTAGTCTCCTCACCCTAGAACATTTCGCCTGATGGAGAACCAAAAGCTGGCCACAGTTCTGCGACACTCGGGTTGGTCCTTCTCCTAATAAAGGCTCTCCAAAATTAGAGACAGAAGAGTTTGTGCTGTCTTTCCTGTGGGTGGTGAGAGCCCAAAAAACACCTCGCTCTGCAATCTAACAGATTGTGGATGCACCATGAGATCTCTAGCCCAGTCCCTCTGTTCTTCCCGTAACTTTGCAACCTGCCCTAGTGAGGGGCTCTCCTTTGCACATGCCCACGTACTTTTCACCTTGATGTCCACTCTCTCGCAGTCATCAGTGGCCGCTGTCAGAGGGCAAGCATACATAGCACCCATTCGCGTGGCGTTCTCCATCCCTGTAGCCGTATCACGAGGAGCTCCAGCAAGCAGCCTGAAGAAAGGGAGAATAAATAATAATTATTATTGAATTAGAGTCAGTGGAAGGGGAGCAGTTGCTCACAATGAGAAACCATGGCTGCAACGTAATTTGGAAGAAATGGTATGCTCATTCCCGTCTTGGGGAAAAATACTTCACAGAATCATAGAATTGTAGAGTTGGGGTTTTTTAACAAAAGTATTTTTTTGACAAAATACTTTTAAAAAAACCACTTTTGTTAAAAAAACAGAAGTCTTTTTACTGGGTATAGTGGGTGAAGCGATACCATGGGAAGATAAAAGGCTGTTTATGTATGCAACAACTGCAGCAAGAATTCTTTTAGCCCCAAAATGGAAACGACAAAAAGTAACGACGAAAGAAGAGTGGCAGATGAAGATGATGGACTTTGCAGAACTGGGGAAGCTGACAGAAAAAATCCAAAACCAGCACAATCAAGTATTCCAAAAGGATTGGAGTAAATTATCTCCCTAGTTATCACCCACTTGGACTACTGCAATGCGCTGCCTTTGAAGGTGACCCAGAAACTGCAATTAATCCAGAATGCGGCAGCTAGACTGGTGACTGGGAGTGGCCGCCGGGACCACCTAACACCGGTCCTGAGAGATCTGCATTGGTTCCCAGTACGTTTCCGAGCACAATTCAAAGTGTTGGTGATGACCTTTAAAGCCCTAAAAGGCCTTGGCCCGGTACACCTGAAGGAGCGTGTCCACCCCCATCATTCAGCCCGGACACAGAGGTCCAACGCCGAGGGTCTTCTGGTGGTTCCCTCATTGTGAGAAGTGAGGTTACAGGGAACCAGACAGAGGGCCTTCTCAGTAGTGGCACCCACCAGTTATCCTATCTTTATAAGACATCTGCAGGCAGCCCTGTTTAGGGAGGTATTTAATATTTAATGCTGTATTGTTTTAACACTCGATTGGGAGCCTCCCAGAGTGGCTGGGGAAACTCAGCCAGATGGGTGGGGTATAAATAATAAATTATTATTATTATATAAATTTTTATGATATCTGGTTATTGATTATTGTAAGCAATTAACATCACTAGCAGGGTTGTCCGAAGACCTGTAATGAGAAATTTTCTATCTTTCTATCTTTATTTAAATTTTGATCCATTCTGTAATGAGTGCAATTAGAACTGGAAAACGTACAAAATGCAATGATATAAAGGTTCCGTTCAAAAGCTATGAGGTGGGAGGGAAGGAAGTTGATAGGCTCTAGAGAGCCAGGGCGGCAAAGTGGATAATGGTGATGTGAATGTATAATATTAAATGGAAAATAACATCCCTGTCGCATGGCCGTTCAGCCTCTGCTTTAAAAACCTGCAAGGAAAGGCAGTCCATGATGCAGAAGTTTGTCTTTTTCCAGAGCGCTGTGGCTGAACCAGGGAGAGTCATAAAATGGTTTCTCCAGACACCTGGTCACTGTGGGGCTTAGTCTGGGCAACTGCTCATCACAACAAATTCTTGGTGTGTTTTTTTAATGCTAGGTCTCTTCCACCTCAGTTCATGTCAGTTCCTGACAGTAAGAGCTGTTTGACAGTGGAATTTGCTGCCAAGGAGTGTGGTGGAGTCTCCTTCTTTGGAGGTCTTTAAGCAGAGGCTTGACAGCCATATGTCAGGAGTGCTCTGATGGTGTTTCCTGCTTGGCAGGGGGTTGGACTCGATGGCCCTTGTGGTCTCTTCCAACTCTATGATTCTATGATTCTATGTTTTGAGAGAGATGAAAAGTGCTTTTGGGTCCAAGTAGGGTGCCTTTCCCTCCTTGCTGATCCGTGACTGGTGTTTCCAGGAAAGAGCTCACAGCTCAGAAAGCGGAACTTCCAAGCAAGTTGAAACTCAGCACTTCTTATTTTGGAAATCAAATACCACTTCGCACCAGCAACTTGACCTCCAAACCGCCTCCATTTGGAGCAGCGCGCTTTGCCTGCTCTTCCTTCCTCCCCGCATTTGTTTTTAAAAAGAACATTTTAATCCCTCCTGATCTTTGGTAAAGCTCCAGGTGGCTCCTAACGGAAGTAAAAAAAAATTAACCCTAATGCAAAATTGAAAACACATCAGCTCTAAAAGCAACCCACATTCCAGTCAGGCAAAAAAAACATTCACGGAGGGTAAGAAGAAGGAATGGTAAGAGATGTAACTGAGGGGAGGCTGTTGGGAGAGTCCTGAGGTACCAGAGGGAGACGTCTTGGAGGGCTGCATTTGGCCCATGGGATGGAGGCTGCCCACCTCAATCTTTAAACTCATATCTAATTTGATCAGGCATGAAACTATAGCGGCATCAGCTAGCCTGTCAAAGTAGCTAGTCCTCTGTGAGGAGAGGCTTCTTCCATTCCAGCAAAATATTACTTCTATCCTGGCACAGAGGCAGCTGGGGTGTGCGTTCCACCGCACTCTAAAAACACAGCTGTATTTTTTCAATGTTGTGGGCAAGGCACTTCTCACACTAGACAGAGGAAAGAAAGCAAAAGAATGTGCCAAGGGAACATTTCACAGTGGCAGGTGGCAGGTGGGAGGAAAACATTAAGCACAAAAGCCATGGATGGATGGAATGTATGTGCATGAACGAGAGAGGGTATGAATTGGTGCATGAGGGCGCACAGGTAAAAGACAGTTTGGATGTAGAATTAGCATTTTAGTGTGCTACGTATGGGCCAAAAATATGCGCTGGTATTTAGGGCTCTGCCTTTTACAGTGCTACCTTGGTTTTCAAATGTCTCTGTTGGCTAACATTTCGGTTTCCAAACGCCGAAAACTTGGAAGTAAATGCTTCCATTTTCGAATGCGCCTCAGAAGTCAAACGGCTTCCGCTGAGGTACCAATGTATTTTTCTCATTTTTTTCTATTAGATTTGCAAACCGCCCTTTGGGCCTCAGTTTTTGAACGTTTCAGAACTCAAAGTCTTCCAGAATGGATTACGTTCGAAAACCTAAGTTCCACTGTACTCAATTTCTTGAGCAAGTTACTAGTCCTTACCAAACTCCCATAGCACCCACTTCATGACCAGCCACTGGGGTTCTGGTTCCCCTCAGTTTCTCATTTTACCAACCTTAGGTTCGGTCTTCCACATTTCTTAATGAGTTTGCAATTTTTTTGGAAGTCCTCGTGAAAATTCACTAGCATTTTAGTGCAGGTTTCTCCTGATAGACCCATTTCTGCAAAGCAATTATTCTTCATTGTCCTTCTTTGTCTGCTGTTTCCACTAACACGTACGTCAATGCAAGTTTCACCCTAAGAATACACATATGTGTACACACTTGGTTGGAAAAGCACATTGCAAAATTTGGGGAAGTGCAAATTCCGCAGGACAACCTGAATTTTCATTCTTGTATTGTTTCTAAAAGGACAACCATGGAATGAATCGATTTTCCAACCCCTTCCCTGCCAGCTGCATGCCTCATTTCACATTTCCAAATGGGCCCCAAATAAGTTGGGGTTCCCTGCAGAGGGAGATTTAGGGGAGGGCAACCAGGCTGCCCACACTGGGTGCCAAGCAGGGGGTGCTGCAGCAATCATGCACATCGGAAGGTGAGAGGTGGGAGATGCCAAATTTGGGCTCCCTGCTCTGTGGGGATCTGCTATGGGGTCCCAAAATTGCCTTATGCCTCCATGTCGGCTATTCTTGTATATGTCAGGCAACATTGCAAAGGCCTCTTAATTCTCCAGTTCTCTCTTATCCACAGGGAGCAAATTCCCAGATCTCCGGAATGTATCACTACTTGGGGACTGCAACAATATATAAGCAAGAAGTATTTATTCTCCCATGGCATCGTTTAACTGTGGAACTCAACGGCCTGGTTTGCATGCCAAACTGAGCAAAATATATTGCCAGGTAAATAGGTACAACTAGATGCTCCATTATTAGGTACAGGTTCATTACCTACTGCCAACCTGCATCTACAAGGACAAAATAGGCATTGACAGAATCATAGAGTTGGAAGGGACCACCAGGGTCATCTAGTCCAACCGCCTGCAATGCAGGAATCTTTCGCTCAGTGTGGGGCATAGCTGTCAACCGTCCCTTATTTGGCAGGAAAGTCCCTTATCCCAGGGCCGTGTCCCGCTGCTGTCCCTTATTGATGATGTCCCTTACATTTCCCGGGTTTCAAAGGAAGCAGCTCCTCTCCCTCCCTCCCTGCCGGCCAGGGAGGAGGGAGGCTCCAACTGTGTTGCTTGGCTGCGTTGCTCACCCAATAAGGAGTCTAAGAATGACTGGGGGTGGAGCTTGCATGCTTTGTGCCAATCAAATCGGCCGCGTTGCCTGGGGACTCGCCTTTGCTCAGCGCTTCCCAGCGGAGAGGTGACAGAGGTTTTCCTTGTTGCATCCCCTTTGCTGGGTTGCTGCGCTGTGGGAACCACCGCTTGAGGCTTCGTTTGGCTGCTAGTTGACTAAAATCCCTTATTTTGGCTGCTGATCCCTTATTTTTGAGGCTGCCGGTCCCTTATTTTCAAATCTGTAAGTTGACAGCTATGACGTGGGGCTCGAACCCGCAACCCTGAGATTAAGAGTCGTACGCTCTACCGACTGAGCTATTCCTGACTTGTTGAAACAGATAGAGTAGGAAAGTTGCCAAATAAGGATTTCTGATGTCACCACCTCAAGAACTCGGAAAATACCATCACCACTGTTTTCAGTTTAGGAAACATCCCCTTATTTGGGATACGAAACAACCTTTCCTTAGAAATTTCCTTAGAAATCCCTTAGTAATTAGTGGACTTGCCCCTAAGGTCATGTGGAGCTGATGGGGCAGAAATTGGGCTGAGATGTTTGTACAAATGGCTGCCTCTGCAGACTGAAAGAGTGTGGTTTTTTTGCCAGTCCTCACATGTGAGAGATTAGAACTGAAGGGCTAGGTTAGAAAGTGGAGGCAGAGAGTATTGGGGAGCTGGAGCAAAGACTGAGGGATGATGCTCTCACTGCGATGGGAAAGGAATCTAATCAGTGCCCAACAATATCTGAACGATATCTGGTTTTCAACATTATGATATATCACCAACT